TTCTTTTCACATGGCAGTGAAATGTGCGGGTGTGCAATCGTGTGTAGTCTTCATGCCAAGAATTGATCTGTGGGCTGTGGAGACTCATTTTCAGGTTGCTGAAAATTCTGTTTACTGCTCCATGAATGATCAAGTTTCTGAGATGGAAGAGGCTTGTTTAACACGGAGTCAGGTTGTTGAAAAGAAAAATGAATTTGATTCAAAGAGAAGGAAACCGGTAGATATGGCCCAAGGTCAAGTCATCTTAAAGGCTTCACAGGCCTGGATGTCATTTATTGAGCAGGTGGAGTCCATGGGTGCATCTACATCCTTGATGATTCTGGTACGGATTCTCATATTGCCTGTAATAAATAATTGCCCTCGTACAACTGTTCCCTTGATTTCTGCTCCATGTTTTTCAACCGTCTTTTGGGCTTAATTCATTTCCTATTAGGAATAATAATCATGTGACTAAATCTTATAAACTAATGCTTACAGCAGTAACTATTGATACTTAAGATACAGTTATTTGTTCATAACATTACCAGAAGTTTTACTATGGTCAACAGTTTTTCACTCAATTTTACTTGGATTATTGAAGTGGGTTATTATGCATTACATATAATTTTAGAACCTCATATCTCAGCTTCATTTGCGAACAGGCTACTTCAGATATTCCATATTCGGAGCTTCCATGTAAAGCAAGGGAGTTCTTTTGGAGTCATCAATCGAGCTGCAGCCAGTCTGCTTCATTAGTGCAGACAGTGCCTCGTTTTTCTGTGCAGACTGGGGGGGACTTTAATCATGATGTCATGATCAATCTATCTGCAGTGGAGCTGATGAGAAATGTAATTGAGCAGCTGGTTCAATTGGTCCACAGAAAATCTCATTTGCATATTGGAGCCAGGAAAGGGCACTTAACCTATGATTCAGTTCAAGGCTGTAAAGATATGACATGTCTGGGAAAAGATGATGGATCAGTCAATGGTGATAAGGTTAAAGTCCAACTTCCTGAACTCTCTACTAAAGTTCCACAGCCACCTAACAGTAGGCCACTGAAGCAAAAGTCTACCCTGTTGTTGGCAATATCAACATTTGGTTATCAAATTATTCGGTTCCCTCATTTCGCAGAACTTTGTTGGGTCACATCAAAACTCAGAGACGGTCCTTCTGCTGATGTAAGTGGGCCTTGGAAGGGTTGGCCTTTCAATTCCTGCATAATTCGTCCTGGTAACCTGCAAGACAAGGTGGCTAATTCTTGCAGCAATAGCAATATTAAGAACAAAGAAAAATCTGGTATTGTCAGAGGCCTGGTGGCTGTTGGTTTATCAGCATACAGAGGTGCATATACATCTGTTAGGGAAGTTTCTAGTGAGGTACGCAAGGTTCTTGAGATATTAGTTGGGACAATCAACACAAAAGTTCAAGCTGGTAAAGAAAGATATCAATTTCTTCGTATTCTATCGCAAGTGGCTTATTTGGAAGATATGGTCAATAATTGGGCCTATTCCTTGTTGAGGTATTATTTTCTTTCTCCTATTAATATGCGGGATTGTTTAATTACTATATATTTTTTGTTTTGGGCATGGACTTGGATTAACAATAATCCCTACCATTTCAGTCTTGAGCAGGACTCCCCAGACGTGGCAGTAAAACGTACATCAACTGGTGTCGGGTCATTAAACGGCCATGAAAACCTACAAGCTGAAGATGGGGATTGCCAATTGGTTGCTCCCATGGGAGATCACGAGCCAGAGAAGCTGGAGAAAAGTCCCAATGTGATGTCCGCCAAGCCACCTGAATCTCTTGCCTTGAATAACACAAATGATAATGTGGATAATGTTGATCATGATGGCAATGGCAATGTTTCAAAAGGATCTCCACAAAATAGTTCTTTTTCAGATGATCATGTTAACAACCCTGCTGCCATGAGCCAGCTCGTTGATCCAGTTACATTTGTGGAGAATGGCACACTATCTAAAGTATCTAAATCAGGAACAACGGGAAATCCTGCAATGATAAATGGAGAAATTGGGCCTTTAGAAGGCTCAAAACTCGCTCACACTGTCTCTCTTTCAGGAAATGAAGAGTTCAGATTGTCAAAAGGCTCAAATGGATCCCCATCTACCCACTCTGTTGCCCTTTCTGATAATGAACTTCACAGTGCCTGTCAAGCAGATGGTGTTGAGATTAAAGACTCCCGGATAGCCTCTATTACTGTTCCCAGCTTGTCGTCAGTAGAGACTGGTATTAAATTAAGTGGTGGTGACTCTGGTGCAGATGCCAGTGCTCTGGAAGTTAGTGACTCTCCGAGTAAAAGCAGTGATCATGCTGAATCTGGGGTTGTCTGTTTGTATCGATGTTGCCCTGCATGCCTCGACAGTCTTCTTCATTTGACACGCAAAATCCTTGCTCATGAGTGTAGCTTGAATAGTCGCAGTTGGACTGTGGAAGATGTCCATGATGTTCTTGTATCATTATCTGTGGATCTTATTTCGGCGGTTAAAAAACTTTATTCTGCTGAAGATTTCAATGAATTATCTGATAAAACCCCTGGCCACGCAAAGTCTGAAGTGCCTCTAGGGTGTTCAAAATCAAGAATGTGTAAACCCAGAAATCCAGACAGGGTGTTTGTGCCGGCTGAATGTGTGTCTCACTCCACAAGCCAACATACAGCCGGAAGCAAAGATACGGCGTTGAATGAATCGAAGCTTGATTTAAAATTTGTTTTCAGAGATGGTGTACTGGTTCAAATAGACCCTGATAAAGATGGCTCTCTTCACTGTAAATTTGAGACCTTGTGCCTTTGTTCTTTGAAAGAGTTGATAGTAATGACGAAGCACCCTTTTGGTTGAACTATTGTTTCATATCTTGGATTGCTTAGCAATTTTTTGGTGCTGATGCGGCAGCTATATATCAATTTTTCTTTGAGAGTAAAATCATAATTTTGGTTGACCACGAATACCTTTGCAGTTTCTTCCAGTTCTTACATCAGCAGCGATCAAAGATCCTCTAATCCCCCCTGACTACTAACTTAGAATTTTGACTCTCTGTAGAAGCTAACCTCTCTTGTAAGTATCTATTTGCGTAGAAGATTTTCTTGATCATGTAATTACCGAACTGCTCTTTATTGTAAACATTTGCTGCTAGAAGCTATTGCTTGTCGATACAGGTTATCTTTTTGCCATATTTTGCTTATTTACTGCCTTCATGGAGTGGGTTCGCTTTCTTGGATAGTTTGTTTTCTGTCATGAATTCATTTTAAAGTAGGATATATTATGTGAATATGAAGTGCTGAGTTTTTGGGGTTTCCTTGGAGTTTGAAAGCGAAGGTTAATCTTGCGTAGTGCGTACACATAATTAAAAATTTAAAAGTTACCGTCTAATAAACGGAAAGAGCAGCAGAATTCGTGACCCCAGCTATATGAGGTGAAAAATACCCTTTTTTGACATCGTTATTTCTTGTTCTAGCTTCAAAGGCTAACCAGAACTCTCAGATTTTTCTCCTCATCTGTCCCCTTTGAGATAATTTTACCCCGCTCTTTCCGATTATATTCATTGTTCCAAATAATCTCTCCCTCCCCCCCCCTCTCTCTCTCTCTCACACACACACGTGAAATAAAAATGGCGAATCTTTTTAGAAAAATTATAGATAAATCCTTCATTAAAAATTTAATTGGCAGATGAGACCTAAGATGATTGATTGCACAAGGAAAGATTAGTCGCACACAAAGGATGATAAGTTGCGCAAATAGAAAATAGTTTGCATAAGATTATTTAGATATAAAGAATTAGTTTGTACATAGAAAAGATGACTTGCACATAAGAGAATTTCATTTGCACAAACAGAAATTGAGTTGCACATTACACAAAGAAAGATCATTACACACAAGAGAAGATACATTGCACATAAAGAAAGATAAGTTATACACAAAAAAAGTTAAGTTGCACAAAATCCTTAAATCCCATTTGTCAATTAAATTATTAATGGGGGAATCCCAATTTTCCCATCTTTTTATATACCTTCTTTTATATGATACCAATCATCAACATCAGAGAACCACATAATTTTTAACATAAATAGTGCAGCTACTTTCTAGTTTCATGTAATTGTTTCCTTTCAATACTTGTTCATTGATCAATGAGTAATCAATATCAACCCAAACAAATGCATTGAATTTCAGCCTTCAATAGCTGAATTCTTTCAACAAATACATGGTCTACGCCCGTAACTAAATCTGGCGCGATCAAAAACTTCACACAGGTTTCTCACATAAAGCGAAAGCCTAGGAAGAGAAAATGATCTTCAAACCGGAAAGGTTTGCATTAGTGGGTCTTAAGATGCAGATAAGGGGAATGATATTTGCCACAGCTAAAATAGTTGTACACTAAAAAGGCTATAGACAGTAAAGATAGTTAATCTAAACTGATGGCTTCATACAGTGTAAGAGGCAAGGATGAAGCATGAAGGAGTCGAAATAAGTAACCAAAAATCCCAACCATGACAAGCATAAAAACTTTATACGCAGCCTTTGGTCTGGATAGCTAACCAAAAAGTAACAAGCAGAATAATTAAGGTACAATGAAAGCACAAGTTTTCTTTATTTCGGAGGGGGGAAAGAGAGAGAAATTATACAAGACAACGACTCTACCCAATTCCATTAAAATAGAGAAGACATTCACTTCCAGACATAAGGCATGCGAGAGATTTTTAGGCATGGAAGATAATATGATTCAATCCGTTCGAAACGCCATTATAACATATTCATCATCCAAATTCTTGCTTAACAAGATAGAAGCCAGACAGTAGTTTTGTGCTTTTAGATGTGACTCATGAGTTTGGAAAGGATTCTAGATTCAAGTAACATTGATTTTTGCAACTCAACTTCATGCACATCCAGAATTTATTCGCAAGCATGCTTCTAAAAATCACCGTAATAAAAATATCCTGTAGAACCTCAGCAAGCATTTTCTAACTACCTTTCTTTCTCAGTACAATAAACAAAATGAGAGCATTGCCCATAGCAATACAAATTTTCATCCTCTATTGACTTCAGATGGTGTTTTTGCCTCAATTGACAAAGCATGCAGCCCAGACTGTAATTCGTCTTGCAAAAGGTTATAAATGAGCCTATGCCTCTTAATTAAACTCTTCCCCTCAAACTCTTTAGATGTAACTTTAAGGTTGAAGTGTGTTTCTCCATCGCTTCCTCTAGCACCTGCATGCCCTGCATGCTGATAAGAAACATCTTCAACTTGTAATTCAACAGGACCAAGTTCCTTCTCCAACTTTTCCTTGATCCTCTTTCCTCTGCTTCCCAGAATACCAGAATTCAATTCAGTAATATCCGAGGACTTCTTGTCCGACCCTAACTTATTACTATCACTCTCAGAACTCAATCCATCGTTTGAGCTCATAGAATCTCCTTTGCCGGAATTCTCAACAGAACTTTTACTTCCCAACTGTGAATTTGAATTAGGGTTCACATCACCACCTTTTTCAGCTTCTACGTACAATAGAAGTGCCTTTTTCTGCATCAATTTCAACATATTCAAAAATCCATTATTCCGGGACGGAGTCAAACTCTGCTGCAGCCCCAGATGCACCACAAAATCTGGCGAAATTCGGACAACCTCAGCGACTGGGCGACCCGAAAGCCCTTGAACGAGCAAAGCGGCGAGTCCCTTAGTAAGATCGGAATCGGAATCGGCTTCGTAGAAAACATTCTTGTCTGGGTCGAGGAAGGCCCTCACCCAAACCTGGGAGACACATCCTTCGACTTTGTTCTCCCTGGTCTTGAACTCCGCATCGAGGGATTTGAGATTCTTGCCGTAGAACAAGAGCTGTTGGTACTTGGCCCTGGGTTCCTGCACAGACTGGAAAAGCTTGACAATTTCCTGGAGTTTGGGAGGCAGCTCTTCAAGGGGTTGCAGAGAAGAAGAGGTTGATGGTGCAGATGGCGGCGTTGCCGATGGTTTCGCAGGGATTCTCTCGAACGTGATGGGTTTGAAGAAGGCAAGCTTGTAAGAAGAAGATTGCAAGAAGAGGTTTTGACAAAGCCGAGAGCGTGGGATTCGGGAAGAAGCGAATAATCGAAAGGAACAAGAGGATATAGAATTGGCAGACATGGTTGCAGGTCCAGCCATCGACGGCTCACCCACTGTGTGGCAACTGATTACCCGGTTCAATACAACAAAGGAGCGAGGGGGGGGGGGGGGACCTTCGCATACAAAAGCGCTTGATTGGAGCAGCAAGGAAGAGCATGGAAGGGTAAACGCGGATAAAATGTCCTCGACGCGACAAAATGCAATGTAACATTAAAATATGTCAATTTTTGAGAAGTTAAAATATGGGCATGTGATATAATATATAAAATTATTTTTTATATATTTAACAAATTAACTATTAAAAAAAGGAGTTTTACTGTTTGCAAAAATAAAAAAGCCGAGAGGATTTCTCTTTTTTAGGTGACAGAGAGGATTTGAAAATACTCCGGTAATCCTTATTTATAAGATATTTTCTGTATATTTTAGACAGATTAAATAATTTTTAAAATATAATAATTTTACAACTTTACTTTCATTTAATATATATATGTTTAAAAAAATAAATATCTATCTTATAGCAAGCAAATATATTTATGTTAAAAATTTAATAAGGTGACTTACAAAAATAAATAAAAAAAATTCTTTCTATGCGAGTAAATCAGTCTTGTTTTGGGCCTCATAGTCTTTTTTCTTTACAAAACTGTTGGTGGGGATGGGCTTACCCCCAAGTTCTACCCAAGAATAAAGCGCCGGCCAATAACGCCCGAACGCACGACCCGGCACCATACCTAGAACTGAGAACTTCAAAGTGTGTTCCCCACAGATGCCTCACCAAGCTCTGTGATGGAATCAAACTCTCTCCCTAACTATTGAGAATAGGTGTTTCCCGCTGAAACGAGAAATGGTGAATTGAGGTAGAGCAGGCCAATGATCCTGTAGTCATTTGGCCGGCTATTGAAAGAAAAAGCTTGCATCTTTTTTGCAAGTAATTTTATGATGTACGAGATAAGTATGTGTATGTAAGAGGGGTTTTCAACGTGTATGAAAATTCTTTCTTTTCTTCAAATGCTTTTAGAAGATTACCGAACAGACCAGTAATCTTATTTAAGATGAAGTATGTACGCCTATTTAAAAGAACACAATGCACGCCTGCAAGGGTTGGGTCCGACTGGTCGCAAACGGGAGCGCAAGGCGCATTCTCCTACCAGGTCATGGGCTCGATTCCTGGCGAGGCACCCTGGGATTAGTTTGGCCGATACGCTGGGATACCCTGAGTTAGCGATAACATCCTACTAAAAAAAAGAACACAATGCACCATAACATGATGATTGTTATCTGCTCTGCTCCTCTAGAGGAGAGATATACAGCTACTGACATGAACCATTGGATTAATCATCTGTCTCACGCTCGGCCACATCACCAAGCAACTTGTTCGGTCAGAAGAATTGAGAAAAGCATCTGTTACCACTCACCACAGTATCAGATTATCTTTTTGGGACTTTCCCTGTAGTCAACAAAACAATATAAAACTCGAAACAAGGCAGTTAGATTCACTTGGAATATTTTAATCTCTGGCTTTGCCTCCAAGAATCAACAACATTATTAAATGATGACAATCCCTGTTCAACTGAGTTGGCAACTCCAAACCCAAAACGTCATAAACTAAAGTAAAAATAAAATAGTCTATCCCTATTATAATGTATCTGCAACTTCACAAACCATTAATATCCCATTCGCATGCTAATAGATTTAGATGAAAAGAAAGTAAAATATAATAAAATGAACCATTGCCCATTCGCATGCTAATAGATTTAGATGAAAAGAAAGTAAAATATAATAAAGTTAACCATTGTACTGTTATAATAAAGATCATGTGCATTAAATAATGGTAACACAAACGGACACATAAACTTGTGCATTTCCTAAATTTCAATGGTTTTGCAGAGATCTTGGATATTAGCAGAATGACTATGAAATCCAGCCTAAGAATGAAGGGACTTCTTTGCCAACTCCATAACATGTTTTATTTGGCTGTCATTTTGCAGTAAGCTGAGAAAGAAAGAGAGAGAGAAAATTAGGTTTCAGAAACACAATAAACAAAAGGGCCCTCACATGGGGCTGTGCTGGAATACCTGTGTCTGCGCCGAAGACATCGTTATTCGTCCCTACTCATTCATTTTCAACACTCCACACACACTGTTTTGTTCTTTTTCCAATGAAACATCTAATGGTTTATAATTAGTTTTAGTACTGAAATGAGCATAAATAATTGATTTCTTTTTAATGGGAAAATCTGGAATTCATGACCTCTATGATAGGCTCATCAAACTCTTTCCATCCATGACTTCAATTTTTTAAACACACAGCACTGTGTTTTGAACTGTAAGCTCATCATGGAAACTAGATAATAAAAAGAAAAATCGGAAAACACATGGGTCACATCTCACGTGACCAATCTCATAACCCCAGCAGCACCATTCTGAGTTTTTTTGGGAAGATATTTCGCAGCTCTCACTTCATTTAAGGATCAGAATTCTGAATTCCCAATCAAATCATATGATATGTTCTGGTTCACATTCAATATCCAGTTACGTAGGTTATGAATTAATTAATTATTTAATATTCCTCGTCTTGATCCATGACCTCTCTGACATTATTGATTTATTTAAGGTTTTTTCTTATGTCGCTTGACAGAAAATACTTGATAGACATTTTACAGATACAAAAGGGGCTTTGTAATATAAATACAGTAGCAGAGAGAAAGAGGAAAGCTGAGTTGAAAAGGCCATGGATCCAAATGATGAATCTACTGGATCATCTTTCTGCAGGGACGAAAAAGTGAAGGCCATGGATCTTTTGGAGGAAAGCTGGTTCTTTGAGAACTTGTTTAACACAAGGAGACCAAGGATACCAAGATGTAACTCTGATCCGTGTTCTTCCTCAGGCCTAGTTGGCGAACCTGTGTTGCTGAAGGGAAAAGACTCTGATGAAGCAGCCAACACTTCATCAACAAGTAAAGTGACGGAACTGGAAGAAGAAGGAAATTGTCAGACAGGAAGCAGTTTTAGCAGAAACAGGTTGGTGCACCAATCATCAGATCCTCTGGTGCTTGAAGCTGCCATTAAAGCTCATAGCGGAGAGATGAAAGAGGTTGATAACAAGAGTGAGGGCAATGGAAGGAGAAACAAACTGCTTAGAACACCATCTTTACCTCCATTTGTTGGCAGAGAAGAAAAGTTTCAAGTATGTGATCACAGACCTGGCAAACAAACCTCAAAGGTACTGTCTGTTTATCTTCAGCTTTCCTTTTATAGAGGTGGACGAGATATGTTCTCTGTTCTCATTTTCTTGCTTCATTAAAATACACATGTTTCTGTGGCCTGTTCAAAGATGCCAAAAGTATGCTTTTTTGTTTAATACATAGGATTAACAATACTTGTGCTCTATACTAAAATCCAATGAAATTAAGACACCTACGCCTGACATACAGGCCTGGGTATCAAGAAGGACTCCTGGCATTTGGCAGATTCAAACGTCTGTCAATTTCGGTGTTTGTGAAATTCTTCATTGATTCTCTTTTTGTATAGTGGGTTAACTTGGGAAAAGGCCAAAAGTTCCAAGCATTATGTAAATTCATTTTAAACGGAAACAGGCACCATATGTATTGGCTGCTACGATGCAACTTTCCAGTAAGATCAAGGCCTTTGTAGATCATCAATACTAGTTCTCAACGTTCTGAGAATTCATCCTCCTGCAAAACAAGCAACTGTCGAGCTCTTACTTGATTCCCTTTTTTCTAACAAGTCAGTCCAAGAGGCAAACAACAAAACTTCTCAGCATAAAATAGAACCATTTCTTCATAGGAACAAGAAGCAGCATAATAATTTTCATATTGTCATTCCAAATAAACACTTGTAAAGTCAGGTTCAAAGTTAAAACTCCAACAACCACAAGTAATTCTGACAATGATTCTATTGATGGCAGAGTTACAGCATTCCAAGAAGTCGACTTGTGAGAAACACAGAGGGAGAAAGCAGCTTCGGCACAGAAGGCATAAAAGAGATGAGAAGAAGGTACTTGAAACAGAGGACGATGAGGAAGAGCCTGAGCGATCTGGAATTTGAAGAAGTTCAAGGGTTTAAGGACCTGGGATTCTCATTTGAGAAAGAAACAATAAGCCCAAGTGTAGCCAGCATTATTCCAGGCTTGCAAGAGAAAGACAGAGAAGAAACAGAGGAAGACAAGGCGGTGAGAAGACCTTACCTATCAGAGGCATGGCTGGTACAGAGTTGCGTTCTTCCTCCTCCTCCTCCAATCCCTACTTACACTGCAAGCAAATCTTCCAAGGACATGAAGCAACATATCAAGTTTTGGGCCAGAGCTGTGGCCTCTAATGTCCGCCAAGAATGCTGAACTTACCATTCATTATTGACGCAACAAGAAAAACAACTCTGCAATCTATTCCTTTCGTTTTTTTTTTTTTTTTTTTCTCTGTTTTCTTATTCATCTCATGTCCTGGCTCCGGGGTTTATGTTTACAAGTGTTGACAAGTCTTTAAATTAATCATGACAATTTTCTCACAAATATTTTTTTAAAAATTAATTTGTAAATTATTACTACGATAATTAAGCATTAGACTATAGATCACTCCAAAAAAAAAAAGACTTTGCATTTCAGAAAATCACGGAAAGAATTTTTATACAAGTAAATAACTTTAATAAAAAATAAAGACAATGAATTAATTTTTTTATTAAAATATGATAATAAAGATACCTAGCATTTTGTTGTTGTAATTATTACATCTAAAAATGAGGAATTTCAAAATACGTCATAGATAAAGCGAAATTTGAAAAAAAAAAAAAAACTTTCGTTAGCAAAATAAAGGTAGCAATGATCACGAAATATTGAAAAAGGAAACAAGATTTTTACTTGATCGCTTTTCCAAAATATAGAGAAAAATAGATAATAGTGTATGGATATCTTCATTTCCCACCAAAATCCAAAGCTGAGATATTTACAGAAAGCCTCCGCTTCTTTGAAGTAGTCGAAGAAAGAAGCAGACCCAGCTCCCTGATCAGTGTGGTTGAGAAAGGGAATCATAATCACCATTCTCCTTCTCTCTATCTTTTTTCTGTAGCCTTTTCCTCACTATCTGAGATGTTGCAGTCCCACTGCTACCACCACGTTCTCTTCTCAAACCCCTCTGTTCCTTTATCTCTTCCTCATAACCCCTCCTTCTCTCTTCCTTTATCTTCATCCCCTTTTCTCAATTTTCTTCACAGACCCACAACTCTTCACCCTGTTTCAGCCATTCCTCCTTCCTCACCATGGTTAACTCAACTTGCAGAACTCGCGGCTGCTGCGGAGGATGGCCCCGTCGAACTTCCAATGTCTATGCCTTCCATTTTCGCAACTGCCGACGAGCCTTCTACAATTCAAATCGCTACCAGTGTTCTTCTCACGGGAGCCATCTCTATCTTCCTCTTTCGATCTATCCGGCGTCGAGCAAAACGTGCCAAAGAATTGGTACGCTGCATTTCTTCATTATAATTGTTCTCTAGTTTTATATTTTATTGTAAATTTCCTATATTTGTGTTAACTGTCTATAAATATGATCTTAATTGCTCATTTCTTCAATAGTTTATATAGCTAATAAAGTGACAAACAAGTTCAATGATGTAACTTTAAAGGCCACAATTTGAACTTCATTGGTTCTTGGAAAAATTGGATGTGCTGCTTTGCTGTTCATTTTAATTTTGGGTACTTTCATGCTACGGTGAATCAATTTGTATTTTCGATGACATGAGGTTGGTGGGCGTAGAAATTTAGGTCTTCTGGAGTGAAGAAGTCATTGAAGGAAGAAGCATTAGATAACTTGAAAGCGATGGGGTCAACTTCGATTGGAGCTAAAGGTCCACCTTCACCTGTTCAGGCATTGATAGGGGGAATATCAGCTGGTATTATTGCTCTTATTCTCTATAAATTCACTACAACCATTGAGGCAGCTCTCAATCGCCAAACAGTTTCAGATAATTTCTCGGTTTGTCTCTTGCCTTTCTATTAGTAAGTTATTTTTATGGTTTGCATTCGGATAAGCAGTGCTTCAGAGAGAGAGGGAGGAAAGAAAAAAAAAAAAAGAATGGATCAAAGAAAGAAGCCAGAATGTCAGGTTTCTGCTGTCACCTGAATAACTAGGATATTGCTACTTGTTGATTATAATGATGGTAAAAGCATTTTATGGGAGTGATATTTATCCCCGTTAGTTTCTTTTTTAGTTATATTAATAACATTGTAATTCTCTAGAACACTTAAATGCAAAAAGAAGAAGCTGATATTGCAGATAAAGAAACAAGGTATCATAGAGACAATCCAATTTATGTCTTGCATTTTGTTAGGATGAAATTCAAATGCTGAAAGGAATTGTGGCTATAAAAATTGTGCACATCAGATTTCTGCCTTGAAAAAGTATCTTTGACCAATGAAGAACCCTACAAATGCATTGCCATTTGCCAGGACAAAAGTGAAATGCTGGCCATGTGTCTATTTAATCTTGAAATGTATCTTTGGGATCTCAAGCAAGGAAAAACAGAAAACATTGTGATCCCACAGAGAAGCATTTTTGTTGAATTAACACAACTGATCAACTCTTTTAAATTCTGCCTTAGACATTGTCTGAAAGTTGCTTTTCATTGCCAGCCCAAGCCCTGTTTTTTTTTTTCCCCCCCCGAGCCCACTCTGCCCTGCTATCGTCTGATTGTGAAAATCTTGTGCTTTTCAGGTCCGCCAGATAACAATCACAGTAAGGTAATTCAATTCCGTTGCTTATCTCTCAGAGGCCTTTCTGATAATTTCTTTAAAGATCTGTTAATCATTTGACTTCTTAACACAGGACAATAGTGAATGGCTTGTGCTACCTTGCTACATTTGTTTTCGGCATCAACTCCATAGGTTTGTTCCTATATTCTGGCCAACTTGCCTTGAACTCCCTTATGGAAGATTCAACTGAAAAGAAAACTGAAAGCCAAGGCGTTGCACAGCAAGGCTTATCAAACTCATCAGTTGAAAGCCCGGCAAATAATACTCAATTGAGCAGCAGGACTGAAGATGAAATTTCAAACGACAAACAATAATGAGAGTCTAATGAAGTTGAAGTGGAGGATGGTCCGGATCCTCTTACTGACTTCCAATCTACCTTCCATGTAATTATCAGTCTTAATATAGAATGTGGAAAAGATTTTGTAGAGGCTACCTTATTTCATTTTCCTCTTACTCCTCAGAATTTCAAAATTATTTGAAGTTTGTTTTAGCTAATTAACTAAATCGCGTGGATACCTTGTTGGATCGTCCTATTCCCATATTCTTCTCAATGCCTTCACGGCTTCACCAAAACTGTGCACCACATATTTACGCGGCTTATTCCAAGGGGAGAAAGATGCAGAGCGCAATCAACTTAAACTGAAAAATTTTTGTTGCGCAAGAAACAATTTTCGTGTTGGACAGGTTTACCGTTGTGTTATCATATTGGGGTAATGTGGAGTAGTGTAATTTGCAGTTTGATTTTAGTTTTCTTGTGTCAAATCATTATGAAGGCAATCACGGTAAGTAATAGTACACCTGCATTCAATTCTGTCATAACGTGCTTCCTCTGTTTATTCTGCATTCAGTTCAGTCATATGTGCAAAGAAGCGTGACAGTGAAGGCACAAATGGATGAACTTTCAAGATTCTAACAAATTTATTGCCCACCAACGATTTCCACCTACTCTTCAAGGCATTACTATGATTAAAATAGTGTTTAGGTAAAAACAAAATAATAATTTTAGAAGTATTTTACAGTATATAAAATAAATATATAAAAAAATTGTTTTGATTTATGAAAAAATATTTTTGAAAAATACTTTTGGATTAGCCAAAAACCTTTTTATGCCGCCTTTTTAATCAATTAAACCTCATTTCAGAATAGCAGGTTTTATAATTGTTTTGGTTCTTTTTTATAAAAAGGAAAAGTGCAGGAATGTTGGGTCTAATAATCTAGTTGATACCATTATCATGTACATTTGACCAATTAACTCCTCTGAAGGACTGAGGCTTGAAAGTCAAGCTTTATGAACTAGTTACAGAACCAAAGGGAGCACAGGACAAAGCAAATAATTGCCTGAAAATTTGCTGAAACGATCCTTGAAAAACTAAACCAGTAATGTCACTATTACATAACATAGGACTTGCTAAAATTACCAGCGCAACGTTTATAATGAGCGATGATTATTTTAGAAATTTTTAAAAAAGAAATTGAGGTCAAAATCCAACCCCAGCCGCGCCGATCCCAAGCGTAGCCGATGGATGGTGCGACTCCAGCTTTCTGCTCTTCCAGAAACAAGCCTCTGGCGCGAGAATAGCCGCTGATCTCATCGGCTCCGAGTTACAGCGCTTGAGAACCAACGGCTCGCATGCATTGGATTCCCCCAGCTTCTGTTCTATCATGGTCGCCATCGACATTCCCGCCGCCGGAGCCGGATATGAGCAAGACGACCTCGGGGGCTGCGGCAGCGGCGGTTTAGAGTCGACGCTGATTCTCTTCCTGCGCTCGCCTCCACTATCCTTTTTCTTCACAGGTTTCTCTGGACGCCGCCGGATGAAGTCCGTATTACTAACCCAAGTCTCCTTCGAAACCTCCATGGACAACTTCGGCTCACACATCATCAAAAGCAAGCACTCCGGTAAACCAGAGCTGCTTCTCTTGGGTTCTGATTGGTTCTCTCGCTCCTTTGAATCCAGATTCACCCTTTTATCTGGGAGTTCTGGGCAATCAAGGTCAGGTCTATTTTGGGTTGCTGTCTCTTTGTCTTCCCGAGGTCTCTCTGCAGTGTCTTTCTCATCCTCCTCAGGGGCCTTTGTTGAAATGTCAGCCATTACTACAGGGGAGGAAGCACGCTTTGCGTCTTCTTCCTCTGTCAGTTTTTCTTTACCCTCCAGGAGCATATTGGCCTGAACGTCTTCAACTTCTTGCTTTTCGAGATCAACTTGAACTTCAGAAGAAGGCACACCAAACAAGGTTTTACTTTGCGGATTACCATTTACTCCTCCATCCTCTGGTTTTTCTTCTGGGATTTCCCTACTGTCAAGTTCAAAACCCTTTGTTGCTTTCGCTTGTACTAAACCATCTGGGATTACTTGCTCTTCACGAGCACAGTCCTCTCCTATTTTGGTTGGAATTTCAGTATGTCTCCGCGCTTCATCTTCTTCTGCTTCTCCTTCTTCATTACCATTATACTCTCTTTGATCTTCATCTTTCTGAGCTGGTGACTCCCAAAACCGATTAGCCAGAGCTGCCATCTTCACAGGATCAGATCTGCACCTCATCAACAAAAGAGCATTCTTTGGCGGAATGCATATACTCATCCTTGCCTTCTCTTCTTCCCCAACAAATTCATCTTTCTTGACCTCATCGATATCGATATCTTCGAGCACATGTCTTCTCCGGCTCCCTTCTAACCTATCCGTTCTATCTTCCTCTCCTTCTTCTAAAGCCGCCAGCCATCCTGCCAATGCAGCCCCACCACCGGAGCCCCCCGTCCCTCCTCCTGCCTTATCCTCTTCATCTTTCTCGCTTGATTTACAAGATGACCAGCATGGAAAGAAGCAGCTGTTAAAATCAGCTCCAAATCCCCTCAGAGCTTCACAAATTGTCAGAGGAAGATGAACCCATCTCTGATTCCGGTGAGGTAAACACTCTTGTCGCAAATTCTGATGATTCTGATGCTCAAAATTCTGGCTCTTTTGTCCTCTGAGATTTGAGTTTGCCGCAACACGAAAACCCTGGTCTATTTTCCTAAAGCTTGCTTCTTGTCTTCTGATGGATCTTGTTCTAATCTTCTTCCCCTGTTTTCTGGTTCGCACCCTCACCTGTCCAATGCACGTCACCTTAGGGGAAGAAGGCTCTGGATTCTCAAAAGTACCGCCTTTTTTCTTGCCCACCGTTGGGAACATTGGAGAAGCTTGTCCGTTTCTGATACTCCTATTGCTTCTAAGCTTCCTGCTTAAGGAAGAAGACAGAGAAATCTGAGATGGTTCTCTATTACCAGTGCTGCTGCCTGGGCTGAGAATACATTTAGATGAGAACTTCATGGTCTTGGATGAAGAAGACAAACAGGAATCGAAACAACCGAAGAAGAGCTTCATTCATGGGATCTCTGTTGTGTCCATTTCATTTCTTTCAACAAATTCCACTGGCGTGGGCATTGACAGGAGAATGATTTTTGGGGATCATAAACACATCTACTATTCAACAAGACTGCCATTGAAATGTGGAAAGAGATTATGGATGAAAAAAGATCTTTTCTTGGGCGCCTTTCTTTGCAGAGAGAGGTACTACGGGTTGCAGCTTGCGGGTCACATATGAGAGAGAGAGAGAGAGAGAGAGAGAGAGACGTTGCTTGTCTTTAGCAAAATGTAACTCACTAGCTGTCCTTGGGTCTGGTAGCTGTTTATCAATGATTATTTATTTATTTAACAACAACAATAATATTTCCCTTTTACCCGCCACAAATATCTTAAAAAACCCACCACAAAGAGCAGTTATTTTTTAGTTTGCTGCTATTAAGAGGCTGGGGTGGAGTGGAAAAGAAGCGTGAGAGGGTGAGAAGAAAAGAAAGAAGATGAATGGATATGCAAGTTTGAGAAGTAGACAAAAAGAGGGGCTCCGTTGAAATTGATATCAGGCGCGGCAAATATTTTACACCAATCAGACCACATCGTAGAAAGATTCCGTAAAAACTTAAATAAGGAGAAATTGCGAAATTTAAAATATAAATACCTTAAATCTATAATTCAGAATGCACGACTGGAACTTGTCTAAGAGAAATGACAGCTTTGCTTGACCCAACATCTGCACCAGAACCAAACAAAAAGTGCTTTGCAGACAGCATTTCTCGAAAAAATAATTATAAAACCCTTATACTAATGTATAAAGGTCTTATACGCAGAACTGAACAAGTAATTTACAATATTGTGATTTGAGGCAATAATTCGATACCTAATCTTCCCAGAAAGGGTGCGAGGTATTGAAAGCTGAAGACTTGAGAGGGTCCCCTCACTCTCAAAACGGTCGAGTCTATCCTTTGAAAGTTTATTGATATTTTACTGAAAAATAGATTAACTATCTTTCCGTCACGTGATGGCGAATATCTTATTTTCTTCTAATCAGTGCCACCTTGTGTTGGTATTGTTATGTCTCTTTTAACCGCTCGACGCTGGATTTCAAAATTACCGTGAACAATTTTACCAATTCAAGTCAAATTGTGAGAAAAATGGTGCCTTGCAAAGCTGATGAGATCTGGCCATTTCAATGACAAATATTGCGTAACCCGAGCAAGTAGGGCTGACATAAACAGCTTTGCTAATGGTTAAGCTATTTCCCGGACTTCAATTAACAATATAAGAGAACATGGTTAATGAAAGGGAGTGCATCGGGCACATGGCGTTATTCCACAGCAATTCCAAGCTGATGTGAAAAAGGATACAAGGAAGTCCCCATCACATAGCTTTCTCAACCAATATACAGATTTATGATTGGATATTATGAATCAGATTTACAAAACTTCCACTTTATATCATACAGAAAGAACCAGGAAAAAAAAAAATGAACAACTTTTTTGGAAGGGGAGACGAAAGAGTGAGGGAAAAAGGAGGATTCTGGTTGAAGCAATGCTCATGAAGTCATGATGCTGAGGACTTCAACTAAGTTCTAACACTACTTTACCAGGAATGATCTTCTTGTCTTTTGCCTCATGAGCATCTTTCACTTGTGTGATGGGAAATGTTTTATCCACAGGTATCTTCAGCCTCCCAGCTTCACATAGCTTCCGTATCTCAATTAAACCTTCAAAGTCTGCCCTCATGTATGTCCATGAATATTCTGAATCCAACAGATGAAATTGGCCTTACATGACAGTGGTATTTTTTTTTTTTCAAAAACAAAAAATACAGCCCTTCACAGCATGAGTTGTCATAGGCTCAAAGCAAGGAAATCATTACGTTGTCATTTATTCATAGATTTTCCTAACAATGTAAAACCCAGGAGGGGGGAGAAGATGCAGCTTGGTCCTTATTCATAGCCTTCGAAGGCAACAAAATACGGAACAAAGAAAATCATAAAGCACAGAAATATTGGTGAGATTTGTGGTGAAGGAAACTATCACACATACAACAACAAGAAGTAACTAACTTCTATAAAGCTTGATATCAATGTTTCAGCGTAAATCATTAATAGACTATAAAGCTTGATATCCGTGTTGCAACCTAAATCATTAATAGACTTCTGAAATCTGTAAAAGAATTATGTGGGCACCAACATCTGAAATCTGTAAAAAGAACTTGTTTTACGTGAGCATACCCAAAAAAGTGCAAATCAAGTGTCAACATCAAAATGTTGACACAAATTCTTTCATATAGAGTGACAACAAAATTCAGACTGCCATCTGTTACCTATTCCATGAGAGTATCTGTATTGAATCTGTTTTTTCAACTGAACAGCTGTAGCTATAGGAAGCCCAACAGCCAGTCCATATCTATCTGCCAATGACGCTGCCTCGCCCTTCAAGCAAAGATAAGAGAGTTAAGTGGCAGACATAGCTATTGAAAAAGAACACATATGAAAGTTCATTTTAATGCGATGGGCCCAGATGGCAATAGAATGAGATGAACTTTTATATGTTACCTGAAGTGTCATGTAGTGCCCACCTCTCTTCAGAAAGTTTATGCCATATCTTTCTGTCTCTGGTACACCAATAGTGTCCAAAACAGCATCAAACTTTCCCTTTATAGCCAACTCAACATCCTGTTCATCAAGACCGGTTATAGAAAACTGGAGAGCAAGATATTCTCAGCTTTCTTATTGGTCGTACTAAGTAGTATTTACATCTTCATGGCTTTACAGACCTATGTAATAGCTACTTAAATAAATTCCAGATTCATAAGCATAAAAATAATTGAAAGGATAAACAACTACTCAGCAAAAGAAAACTGCAAACAACCACAAACCTTATCCTTTTTCTACAAGTAACTATTAACAACGAGAAGTTTATAGATCTCCCATCTACAACTTTGTTCCCAGAATTGCAAAAAAGTAACATTACTTTTGTGCATTAAGTATGATTATACAACTTGGGGTTATATCTAAAATTAGAAATTTTAAACCGGAAAAAAAAAACATGTTTTACATAATTAGACGCCCATTTTCTATTCCACTCCATCTTTCTCCACAATTATTTTCATTGTAATCCCACTTTCAATCATGTTTTACTGCTTTCGCAAACAATTAATATATCAATTTTTTCAGAATGTGCCACTGATGCATAAGAAAGATAGGGAAGAGAGAGGGAAAGGGAGAAAGACAGAAGAAGAGAGGAGAGAGACGAGAGAAGAGGAAGAGAAACAGAGAGACTCAATTCATCTAATCTCATAAAATGATTAAACTAACCCTTCTCTCTTATGCCTCTTTATAGACCATAGTTCCTAAACCCAATTAACTAACTAACGACCTAGTTCCTAAACCCAATTAACTAACTAACGACCTATTAATCTCCCTTAACTAACTCCTAACTAACCTCCCTTATTCATTATATTTACATATCAACCCCACTCTCATATACCTACAAGCTTGACAAAGCACTTTCTTTCTCTCTAATTAAGGTCAATCATCAGCTACATTTGTTAAAGGCCAGAACCCAGTTGTCTCTGCATTCATCATCCCTCTGTTAACCCCACTTTCTTGTGTTGCCCTTTCAGGTTTACACAAGCATTTATGCTAAGTTTGTTCATTGTCCTTTTCATTAGTTTACCTTTTTTGGGGGAAAAAAGAATTTCCAATAATATTGTCTGTGTTAAGATCAAGGTATCTGAACTAAAGGCTAGAAATAACATATAACGCAGATTCATCACTACCTCAGCAACATAGTCCACAGCCTGCTCTGCACCAGCATTTAACATTCGATCAACGCTTTCGCTTCCACAAGTAGTTGCAACATGGCAACCAGCAGCTACTGCAAGCTGAATTGCCGCAAACCCAACTGCTCCTCCACCACCCGCCACTAATATCCTTTGTCTGTTGAGCATTAAAAAAAATTGGTGCCATCAGTTCAACAAAAGAATTTAGGAAAGCAACACTAGATCATTTAGAGAGTGAAACAAATCTACAACTGAAAACTCTAAAGCACAAAAAACAGTATGTTAACTAAAAATAGTTTATCTCCAATACAAAACACATAATCTCACCAATATAAACATACCCCTCACTTATCCTGGCAGTACTTTTAAGAGCACGCCAAGCTGTCAACGCAGCAAAAGGAATGGCACTTGCTTCCTGCAAGACCAACGTATTAAAGCATATCCCCAAGGGCCCAAAGTAAACGAGAGAAGGGGGAGGGAATTTGTATCCATTTGTTTAATGTCAAAACCACTGACAACTCTATAACAGATATGACTGTGAAGCCAAATGAATAGGACCTGCCTTGGCAACTATTATGGGTTTCTTAGACTGACCAAAAACAATGACGAGTAGAAGACCATCAAGATGGGACAAGTAAATAAGTAGTCACTCTTGCACAAACTGCGAAAGGAAGATGCATACCACATGCGAAAGAGAACTTGGTTTTACTGTAACCTCTTCATCCGAGAGAATTGCATAGTCAGTGTATGTTCCCCTTATGGCAGTTGGATGCAATGCACCAAAGACCTCCTGTCCCACACTCAATGATCGCACTGAAGCTCCAACAGCTGCAACCTCACCACTGATATCACGACCCAAAATTATTGGCAAAAGTGGTTCAAAAATGGATCGTCCATAACCTGATCGCATCTGAAAGAAGTAAATTTTAGAATGCTTATTCCAATATATAAACATACACATACAGTGCTGCACAACTGAAGATAATTTTTTGTCAAATGTTACTAGCTATAGATTTGCTAGCGAATCATTAAATTTAACATAAAATACTCAGTCATATAAATATAGTAAACAAATTTTATTTCTGTTTCCTCACACTTGAATGGCATTAACACCTAGAGATAGACAGTTTCAAATTTTATTTTGTTTTTTCTCTAACTGATCAACTTGTCAATAGTTGACCTACCGCCCCTCCCTTATTGCATGTTCAGACTTCAGATATAAAGTTACCCCGTAATTTTAAACTGAAATAAGCACCTTAGCAGAAAAGATAAAATGTTTCAATACAAACCGGTTATACCTTATGTACGGAGTAGTGACATTAGGTTTAGCAGTGCACCAAAATCCATGTTCAGAACAACCCAATTTAATAGATGACGAACATTTGCTTTACATGTTAATGGTAGCTTTACAGTGATGAAGAATGAACCAAACAACCCATCTTTCAATTACATTCCTCTAAATTAGTTTCTTTGAGGCAACTAGCAACTTTGTACGAACCAGACCAGTGAACGAAGCCCAGCCTCAATATAAGGGAATAAAACAAGTAAGTGATTGCGTATCAACAAACTGTTTGCAATTTTTCTCCCTTACATCCAAGATAACAAAGCTCTAACACCCTTCTCAAATTACACCAATTAATCAGCAACCACTTCCCCATTATCAAACAGAGTGAAGAAGAGGTGAAATCAGTAGAACTCACTCGAGTATCTAAGGGATTGATAGAGACAGCTCGAGCGCGGACGAGGACCTCATTGGGCTTGAGATCAGGAACAGGGACATTAGGATGAAGCTGAAGCACCTCAGGACCACCAAACCGCGGCAACAGCACGGCTCGGCAGCTGGTAACGTAGGACCTGAAGGCCGCCTTGTAAACTGAACCGAACAATCGGCGATGACTAAAAATTCGCATCTTCTCCATTATTGTTTGCCAGTCTTGGGATTCAAATGTCAAGTTCAGAGCATTAGAAAGAAAAGTAGTTGTCTCTCTTGTTTAGGGCTTTGGCTCGGTCATGTGTGCATGATGCGAGAGCCAGAGAGAGAGAGAGAAATAAGGAGAACGTGTCTGTGTTCTAGTCCGCACAGAAAATAAAACGAAGACTCGAAGAGAGAGAGAGCGAGTAGAGAGATGGCTTCGTTACGTTGCGTTTAAATGACCAGAGGATCAGTGTTAATGGCGCCGTTGGCCGTTGCCCTCCAGGAAAGAAAACCCCGGCCCGCGGGACGACGTGTCCATTCTGGGGTTTACGATTTTTCATTTTCTTTTCAACGAATGAAATTAATTAAAAACAAACTGATCTTCAGCATCTTTGTCATCACAGTAATTATTATTCTTTCAAATATTAAAAAATGATCAATTTAATCCTTAGTTATTAAATTCCTTAAGTAATTTAATAAAAAACTCATAGATTCTTTTTTCTAATAAAAAGTGCAGTGGCCATTATCAAATAACTTGAGTCCCAAGTAAGTGGGATCCTAACAAAGGAAATGAGCGTAGGTAAGCTTTGAGTAATTTATTTTCCTGGCAATAGAATAGACTCTAGGTGGACAAAGCATTGGAGCAATGTTCATTCATAATATTAGTCTTTTTAAGCTATTGCTATTTTCGATCCTTAATATAAGAGTTTGTTTGATTTTTATTTTGATCCTAAATATATTTATCTATTTTTCTCTAAGAGAGTCATTGTAATAATAATAGTTAACCAATATATTTGATTAATAAAGATATTTCACTGAAAATATTATCTATTTATTATAAATAATGAACTTAACCAATTTTTTTAATTTACTCAAATGAGTCAACAAACTCTTATATTAAAAATCAAAATCAAAAGTAGTATTAAGTATTTCTTTTATACCTCTTTATTTACTCTGATTTAAATTTTCATTTTATTTCTAGATACATGTTTTGTTTCAAATTTTATGATATAATTATGACTTATTCTCAGTAATACTCATACTAGATGGAAATTGAAAAACATTAAACAGAATCCCAACATACACATTTCATGAGAGCTTTAACTTTAAATGCTCACAACCTAACAGGATTAATCTGATGCGCAAAGTGATTTGGGAATACCTTGAATTGAAAAAAAAAAAAAAAGTTAAAATTCAAAATATTATGAAATTAAATGGATAATCTAAGTGAAAGGAAAACTAATTCTTACGTAGTACATCAATTCTACTTTCTCCATTCTAGGAAGTAGGAAAACAAGTACATAGGAACCAAGGAAGTATATTGTCATCGTAAGTCGTATGAGAATACAAGTTCAAATTCTATCATGATCTCATTCTCTCTCTATACTCTGAACATTAATACATAATAGTCCTAATTTTGTAGGCTCTGGAATAAAACCGCACATTCTTCAAGATATTGATGCCAAAATGCCATATGGAGTCTCAGGGGGAGAGGGAGAGAGAGAAAGAGAGCAAGTTTAAGAAGCATGTCATCGATCTTCTTGAGGTTACAACAAAAATCAACAAATACGCCTTTCCTTCATAGCTTATAATTTCTAATAAATCAATTTCGATCATTCACGACAATCACAATTGAAAATTTGAAATGGAGCTTCCCTGACCACAAAATTTCGAAAGCGTAAAGGGTAGCTAATGCTATGATGCATCTCCCGAGGCATTCCCATCTGGAGAAACTTCCTTCTTTTGCTTCTTCTTCGGCCTCCGTTTTTTCTGCTTCTGTTTAAGTCGAAATTGATCTTTTACACTCCTCTCCCATTCTTTTCTATTCCTTTGATAAAGCAGCATAGCAGCACGAGCATCTTCTATCTGAAACAGTAAGAATGCAGTCCACAAATTAAAGAATCACTTTTGATGGTTTCTTCACATCCGGTTTCACAAATATGGACTGACTCAAGAATTTAACTCAAAAAACTTAACATGTCAAACTTGTTTACAGTTTAACATTACATGATTACACTATTCAAAAAGTTTCATCTGCATGTTAATTTAACATAGTCACAGAAGTTTGAAGGACTAACAGGACAGTGCTCCCCAGATTGGATCTTAGCACCCAGAAGTTCAGCAGCAAGATGTCGAAGTGCTCTTCTGCTACGTGATCTGCGTGAACCAGAACAACAAATTTGTTAGAAGGCAATGCAGGAAGAGTTGAAATATAAATTGGGGGGGGGGGGGGAATTAAGACGCATGCAGGCAGGCAGAGTTAGATCAGTAAAACCGCACTTTAGAAATGGTTGGTACTCAGAGGTATCTCGAATATCCTTCTTGGGATGACTTAATAATAACGCCTGCCAGATACAATCTAACAGTTAACATAACTCACTCTGATATGAAAACAAGGGAAGGGGAGGGCAGGGGGGAGAAAAAACCCGCTGAAACGCCTTACCTTAAGATCATTGTGCAGGGCATGTCCCACAAGGACCCTGCCTTTGATTAACTCTGCCACTTTCTTCTGAACCGCCCAAAAATCCTTTGCTACAATTTGTATCATTGGCATATGCCTCTCCTTATCAGTGTTGAGAACATAACGTCCCTCGTTCATTTATCAGATCCAATCAAAGATCCAGCAAAATCTTAATCCTTCAAGTATTAAGCATGGAGTAGCTGCCCTTAAAAGTTGAGCTCTACCAAGTTGAATATTAGTTTTTTTATTATTATAGGCAATATTTCCCTTTTTTCCCCACCATGGGTGGCAATAGTTCCTACCGCTGATCTTCACATTAAATTATATAAATTCATATTATGTTAGAAGCCATTGATTGAACATCGTTTGAGGTGGTTTGGACATGTGCAAAGAAGACATTTAGAGATGTTGGTGAGAAAGGTAGATCAAAGAGTTTGGAGTCCTTTAAAAAAAAAAACAGAGAAAGACTGAGGAGAACGCTCAATGAGATTATTGAACGAGACTTTTTGATTAACAACCTATCTAAAAACTTGGTTGCCAACCCCACCTAATAGGATAAGATTTGTTGTTATTGTTGTATGTTAGAAGCCATGGGAGTAAAATACCATCATGCTTGAATTGTAGCATTTTGCAATTTCTTTATACTCCTCCGATCCTAAATATAAGACCCTTATATTAGCATGCCAGCTCACCAGTGAGCCACTAGAGAGCAATGAAATCAAGGTCAAGCATATAGGAGACTCAAAAAATTCATGGATAATGTCTATATTTTTTATCAGGGAAAATATCATAACATCCCCAACGGTCAAAACTCAAAAGTGAAAACCCATAGTTCAGAGATCACCTTTTTCTTCAAGACTAATGACAAGAGGCCTGAGATTATTATACCCCATTAACCATGAAAGAGAGTATTTTATGATGTCACTAGTTCCATGCTTCTTGTTAAGCGGCCAATGATGGGAGTGCAGACTGTGAGTTGTTTCAAGGAAATTCAAAACTTACGGACTACAGAAAAGAACAGCAGTTTCTGATATAGCTGCTATAGCTGCTGGTCTTAAGAAGACATATAAGAGGAGAGTTGGTAGGAGGTTTGGTGAACAACCGAGGGTAGAAGATGGGGAATATGCCGAAGTTCCAGAAAAAGGGGAACAACTCTAATGTGCAGCCAGCTACTAATCTTTTGGGTCTAAATCCTTGTATTGGGGTAGGACTATTTTTTGGGGTTTAATACGTGTTGTGGGGGTGGCATTGGGGCGAAGATTAATTCTGGAAAACTAAGTGTGAGGAGAGACCTGGCCTCTCGAATGCCATGGGGAGCCACTGGGTTAAGCTATATTCCTTGCATTATTAGTGTTCTTTTGTAGTGGTGATTGCTGTTCTGTAAATTAGGAAATAGGGCTTTGGCTTGAATCAGGGAAGCTGATTGTATCTTTGATTCAATTCTGAAATATTAATATCAAAGCCTCAGAATTTTCCTCATCTATTATTGTTCTGTTTTATTATTATTGTTGGCCTGGGCACTGGTTTGCTGAACATCGACACAGGGTCACAACAGTTTCCAACATTAAAAAGTTTGTAAAGTCACCCTGAATCATAGGTTTTCGACCTCAATATCATTAGATGTACACTATCTTGTTCTCCGCGTAACAACTATATTTAGAGTGGGGTGAGAAGAAGAAAAACCCTACCTTTTCTTAAGTCCCGAGATCTTATGCCACTAATTTTGGTGCGGAAGTCAACAACGCGCTCCACTGGTCTAACAAATTCATCATAAATAACATTTCCCCACCTATTAACCTGCCATGACAGAAATAGTAGTAGAAATCCATACCAAACTAGGTGAGTTGTCAGTATCGAGCCAAAATCATTATCTTCACAATACAAGGCAACTCTTAAAGTTGATACTTGATGGCATTTCTTCATAAAATTTGACACCACAGAACCAGAGTCGTAAGATTTTATTTAATAATGTAACCCGAATAGATTGAAATGATGCAAATTCATAATAGATTAATTACTTCACTAAACCAAACAATATGTTTCTATAGAGTCACCAATGCCAAGTAATTTGGGGTAAAACATAATTTTACATGCATAAAGATTATGGCAAGATGAATGGAACAAATTTAATACCAGGGTTACTCTTCCAAGAGCACTTCTGTTTCCTTGACCAACACCAACCATTTCACAGTCCATGGCTACTGCATCGGTCAGACTGCCAGATGGTTAATAAGTTAAAGGATAGCGGTATTCAAACAAGAGTAGAATGCTTCCTAAAAAGGTAGACGTTGAAAAATTACAAATACACAAGAACATATTTAGTTAGAGCACAAGATGACATTAAACCCATAATGGAAGTCTTAACAACAAAAATAAAAACGTAAACGTGTAGCTCAAATTTACAGATTTCGTTTATATTAGTATAGTATGCCATCCCGTGTCCACCAAACATAAACTATCTTAATTCAAAGGAATTCCACAACACGTCTCAATAAAGATCATTGAATCAAATATCATTTAAATTAACAACAACAATCTTCAACCCGAAATTCTAGAGCCCAGTGATATTGCAAGCACTGTCTTCTCTGTCTAAAGCCATACTTTCCTTAAAACATCTTGCAGTCATACTGGATAATCTCCTCATTTTATCTTCAAGTGAAATAAAGTTCTTTGGTCTTCTGCGCTATAATCCAAGTTCAATCCCACTCCCACATTATTTTTTATTAAAAAATTAACAATGTTAAATGAAAAAAAAAGATTTTACAACAGTTGGTTTTACAAAAATACATGAACTAATGAAGTCAATCTTTTCAATAAGCAAAGCATGATAAATTCAATAAAAGTTTTGAAGTAATACATAACATGAAAGAAAGATGCATCTAATTTTGATGATTCTTAATATCTCAAAAGAATGAAAATGAAAGTCCAATCAATTCCCAGAATCAAAATATTAAACCAACATAAACAAAGGATATGACTTTTTCTGTTACAAACAAATGAGGTAACTTCAATTGCTAAATATTCAACAGTAGCCGAAGACATCATGAAGTCACAGCAAAAATAAGAAGAACCACCTGGAATCATCATTTACAGGGGTAAGAGGATTAATCTGAGAATCACTGGACTCTGCATCTTCCCTCTCTTTCCGCTTCCCTGACAAAACAAAAAAGCAAAAACTCTCAGCTTAAATCACTTGACACAGCAGTCCTCAATATCTTTAGTATGGACCAGCCGTAACCAACAGAAGATGGGGAGGAAATATATTACCCAGTACTGAGTTTGGGGCCTCAGTTTCTGAGTTTTTGAAGGGTCTTGAAGCATCAGAGGCACGAATTTTGAGCTTCTACATTACATAACATAAACACCAATGAATGATAGCAGTCCCTTGAAAGACGATCAATAATGTACATATGCTTGAAAAAAAGAAGGTTAAGAAAAGTACTTGTTGGAGTTGAGTCCAGTTGGGATTCAGCTGCGCGGGCTTCGGTTTCTTCCTTGGTTCACCACCCATCTGCTTCAAATCCAGAGTCAGGGTTCAGCTGTTCCGCGGCAGCGAGAAGTAGTTATCACTCGCGCCGACGACGCCGTTTATATAGTTTGAACTTTAAATTTCCGGCAAAAAACACAATAACGCAAAATATTTTGACTTCTCTTTTTTTCACCGACAATTTTTTAAATAGGCATGCACAATAAGCTCTTTTAAAATAGGGAAAATTTTACTGAAGGACCGTTGAAGGCAATTAATTTCCAATAGCCCCCAAAACAATTTGAGAAGCCACTGCAGGACCATGGGGGTGAATTGATATTAATTTCAAAACTAAAAAGACAGTGTTGCCCCTCAAACTATTACTCTGAAATTTGAAGTCTTCTCTCTCTCTCTCTCAACTCTCGATATCTGAAGCCCCCTCTCGCTCACTCTCTAAAAATTCCAGTTCATGCAGTGAAGGAGATCATTCACCTCACTGTCGCTACTGTTGTGCTGAGGAAAGATTTTGCCATCGTCATTGCTCTGCTGCGGAGAGCCTTCGTTGTCGCCCTTGCTCTAGCAACGAGAGCCTCCATCACCGCTCTTGCAAGTGTTGGACGAGAGCCTTTTGTGTAGATATGAAGCTGGTTAAACTAGAAAAGCTTGCAGGAACGCGAACTCTACATGAATTTATTGCTGAATACAGTTTGTTTTTATTTTAATAAACAGCTATTTTTGTGTACATATGAACCTCAATATGTATTTTTGGAATGGTTCACGAAGTGGCTATGACAATCCGTGAGTTGAAATCTATTTTGTATGGCTATGAATAGATGGAGAATTTCATGATGGTACTTAGAGGTAAACTGCCCTAAGTACTGAACTGAAACTAGCTAGCAACTATATAAATGTGTGAACAAATTAATCGACTTGCAAATGGACGTATTTTTATTGTTAATGCGTGTATTCTTATTGCAAAGTTCCTAATTCCACTTGTAAACAGTCACTTCCAGATTTGTGAATTGACGTGTTCAACTTTTTAAATGAAATAAATCTACTTGCAAAAGGACGTATTTCTATTGTTAACGAGTGTATCCGTGTTGCAAATTTCCTAATTTCACTTGTGAACCCTCACTCCTAGGCTTGTGATAAACTTTTTCAATTGAACCAGCTCACTTGCAAATGGATGTGTTATTCTTATTAATATACACATCCTATTTGTAAATTTTCTAATATCAGTTACAAATGATCCCTCCCAGACTTGTGAATAATCATGTTCAACTTCTTAAATTCAACTAGCTCACTTATAAATAGACAAATTCTTATTGTTAATATACTTATCCTTCTTGCAAATTGTTTGACTCTAGTTGCAAATAGTCCCTCCCAAACATGAATTATCATGTCCAACTTCTAGAATTCAACTAGATCACTTGCAAATAGACGGGTTATTGTTGTTAATATGCATATTCATATTGCAAATTACCTAATTCCACTTGTGATTAGTGCTCCTCAGACTTGTGAATAATCATGTATGACTTTTTTAGTTATATTAGTCCATTTGTAAATGGACAAGTTTCTCTTGTGAATCAATGTATCTTTATTGCAAATTTCCTAATTCTAATTGCCAATATGACAACCAAATACCTATGACATCAAAGTGTTAATCAACATATTCTTATTGTAAATTTTCTAATTCGAGTTGTCAATAGTACATCACATACTTGTAAGTTAGTGGGGAAAGACAACAAATTGTAATTAATTGACATGTAACCTACTCATAGTATATTCCCTAAAACAAAAATCGTGCAAATTCTCCATACACAAATTTTAACACATTATGTCATTGTTTTGTTTTTTATTGTCTTTATCCGTTGAAGTAGTTTGCAATAGCAACTGATTGTGTATTTCTTTTGGAGTAATGAGTCACCACAACTCAGACTTTAGTGAAGTGTATTATTCTTGTGACACAACAATAAGTACTGTCAATAGATTAACACAAGCACATCAATGCAAACTCAAAATAATGAATGAACTCATGAGTAATAGAAAATGACTATCACACAAAGGATATTGTGACTACTGCTTCCTAGGCAATTTGCAAGAAGGATAAGTATATTAACAGCAAGAATTTGTCCGTTTACAAGTGAGCTAGTTGAATTCAATAAGTTGAACATAATTATTCACAAGACTGGGAGGGATCATTTACAACTGAAATTAGAAAATTTGCAAATAGGATTTGTATATTAATAAGAATAACACATCCATTTACAAATAAGCTAATTCAATTGAAAAAGTTTATCACAAGCCTAGGAGTGAGGGTTCACAAGTGAAATTAGGAAATTTGCAACACGGATACACTCGTTAACAATAGAAATACGTCCTTTTGCAAGTAGATTTATTTCATTTAAAAAGTTGAACACGTCAATTCACAAATCTGGAAGTGACTGTTTACAAGTGGAATTAAGAACTTTGCAATAAGAATACACGCATTAACAATAAAAATACGTCCATTTGCAAGTCGATTAATTTGTTCACACATTTATATAGTTGCTAGCTAGTTTCAGTTCAGTACTTAGGGCAGTTTACCTCTAAGTACCATCATGAAATTCTCCATCTATTCATAGCCATACAAAATAGATTTCAACTCACGGATTGTCATAGCCACTTCGTGAACCATTCCAAAAATACATATTGAGGTTCATATGTACACAAAAATAGCTGTTTATTAAAATAAAAACAAACTGTATTCAGCAATAAATTCATGCAGAGTTCACGTTCCTGCAAGCTTTTCTAGTTTAACCAGCTTCATATCTACACAAAAGGCTCTCGTCCAACACTTGCAAGAGCGGTGATGGAGGCTCTCGTTGCTAGAGCAAGGGCGACAACGAAGGCTCTCCGCAGCAGAGCAATGACGATAGCAAAATCTTTCCTCACACAACAGTAGCGACAGTGAGGTGAACGATCTCCTTCACTGCATGAACTGGAATTTTTAGAGAGTGAGCGAGAGGGGCTTCAGATATCGGGAGTTGAGAGAGAGAGAGAGAAGACTTCAAATTTCAGAGTAATAGTTTGAGGGGCAACACTGTCTTTTTAGTTTTGAAATTAATATCAATTCACCCCCATGGTCCTGCAGTGGCTTGTCAGATTGTTTTGGGGGCTATTGGAAATTAATTGCCTTCAGCGGTCCTTCAGTGAAATTTTCCCTTTAAAATATCAAGCTACCTTGTAGTTATTTGAAAGTCACAGGTTTACTTGTTTCATATGCACAATGGCTTCAATAAAGAGGGTTTAAAAAAATTTTGAATTAATTTTCTAAAAAAAATGTGAGTTAAATACTACTTCCGGTCTTAACTATAAGAACTAGTTAACTAATTTGAGGAGATTAAAAAAATAAGTTAAATTAGTTATTTGTAATAAATAGATGTTGTCTTTTTTTAAAATATCTTTACTAATCAAGTGTGTTGACTTAAACTATAATTATTAGAAAGATTATATTGAAAAAAATTATATAAATATAAGAAACAAAGTGGATTGAGATCTTATAGTTATGATTAAAATAAAAATCAAATAAGATCTTATATTAAGTACCGGAAGTAACATATGAGAAAGTTTTGTTTTGATTCAAATAAAAACACTTTTTTAAAACCATCATGAGTTGTCATAAATATCACGTGGTTTGAATGTATTGTAATTTCTCCGGCAAAAAATCTTATAATATTTTTAAATATAAAAAATGTGTTTGGTAGTTCATAAACGATCTCCCTTTTCTGATTTTGTTTTCGCGGAACCTGATGCTCGGGCGTGGCCGCGAAGCTGAGTCCCACTCAGAGTAAGGAATTGATACCCAAAAAAAATCATAAGAGGTTCTTACAAATACCCAAGTCGCCTGGGAAGCAAAGCGTTCCTCCATCTCTTCCTCCCACACTTCGTAATTCTCTGTGTCTGAAAATGGGAAGAGGGAAGTTCAAGGGCAAGCCCACTGGTCACCGCAACTTCTCTTCCCCGGCTGACATAGGTACTCTCTTTTTTCTCCTCTCAGAATATCGCATTAACTCTCCAATTCTTACTATATCTCAAGGTTTGATTGCACTTCATAGACTTAGATCTATAAACTTCTTTATTGTAAGAATTGATCAGTTTGATATGACTTGTTTGTAAATTTGACGTGTTATGAATTTCCACTTGTGGGGTGAAACGTGTCTAATAAAATATATGATGTGTAGTTGAGCTGGACGGTGGTATTTTCAGGTTCTGTGGGAGATTGGGGTGACCATACGAGTTTGTAGTGGTCGGTCAAAATTTGATATTTCTTGAGTCAATCATAGGGACCCTCACCATTATTCAACGAAGTAGGAATTATCAATTATATAGTTCCGATATCCATCTAAAAATTTATATTTCAAGGTGTAACTGAACAAGAAGAACAGTTAAGTAACAGGGTGACGAGACGAAGTTTCCCTGAGCGAAGTTCTTCAACTCTGTAACAAGTCTATGATTTTGGGTTTTGCATGGCGACGAATTTAATCGAGCTTTTTGCACATGGCAATATTGTAGAAATCTCGCGATGCTTTTCTAAGAAGTTTCAGCTTATTCTCTTTGTTTCGAGGCTTTATTCTTATATCGCATGCTCATGTGCTCTGGCCTTGTTAAATAGTGAACTATTGCTAAGATTTTTTTTTATTTTCCTTTTTATGATTCAAATGGATGAAGCTGCCGGCACCTCTAGACGGCCTCGTACTTTCAAACGGGTATATTTCACATCTTAAGCTTCATTTTGCTTGATTATTTTCCTTAATTGCTCGTGCTCTTGTGCATTGCTGATTCCTAGCAATTTGACCATTTTTTGCATCAATATTTAAATATTGAATGATCAACTCTTGACCACTCTCCGATGACATTGAACCCTGTTATTTAGTCATTTTTTCCTTGCGTTTTTTTTTTTTACCCTTCTGTATGTTTAATAATCAGTATATAAAGATTGCAGTTGTGGAGTGCTTCACCTCGTAGCCATAATCTCCTGTGATCCTTGTTGTTGACGTGCCTCTGTTGGTCTATTTCTTTTTGTTTGTTTTGTGATCCCCCATCCTGTAAGGTCTATTCATGGATACTGTTAGCAGCAGCCTAGTGGAAGTTGAGGAATATTTGGACCTTCTGCTCGTTCACTGTGTGTGGGTTTGTCTTTTCTACTTGTATGAAATTGCAACTACGCTGTTTATGTTAGGAAGAGGCAGAAGAAGAAGTAGAAGTAGAAGAATTAGAGGAGGGGGTGGAAGAAGAACCTGAGGTTGGTGTTCACTACTGCTTTATTTATTCCTTCTGATTCAAGTAACTTTAAGTTCACTTACATTTTCCGTTGGGCTGTCCTCCACCTATGGGCAGAAGCGCAAAGGCACTGAGGGACTTATTGAGATTGAAAATCCTAATTTAGCAACAGTGAAGAATGTGAAGGCCAAAGATGTTGATGTGAGTTTCATTTTTAGTTTTCTTCTTGACGATATCTTTTGGTGATCTAAAATTTTGCTGAGCTATTTATATCTTTTACAGATTGAAAGGAAAACTGAACTCTCCAGGCGGGAAAGGTAAGCTTTAAAAGTTTCTTTGGTGGATACAGAGTGACGACTTACTTATTTTTGCTGACCATGCTTCTGTATGGCTACTGACTGACTGTCATTGTGAAGTTCAATTTCTATTTTCTGTCTTAAAAATGCTCACCTTTTAATGACCGGGTTATCAATGTTGGCACATTCTGTCAGTGGCAGTTTTTCTGGTTTTTTTTTTTTTGAAGTCATAATTGCTTTCCGAAAGTACCCTGGGGAATTGTCTTCATCATATGGAGTTTTGCTTAATACATTTGCTGAAATAATTGAACAACGGCACAATATATGCTGTTAACTGCGAAGAAATATTCGTACCTTTTTATTGGGTAATGAAATATTCTTAATGTTTTTACTTTTGTGTTTCTTCTTAAATAAATTCTTTTTAGACTGTGATTAAAAGTGATAAATTCTCGTCAGCCAAAAAAATCTATTTGAAATGATTAGATCACATGAATCATGCCATCAAACAAATTATATGATCAATTAAGATGATGTATACTTGCATGAAGACTCCGGTGCTTGACTTTTGGCCACATAGACCTCTACATTTGGACTTGTTCTCACAGTTGTTTGCAGGGAGGAAATAGAGAAACAAAAGGCTCATGAGCGATATATGAGGCTACAGGAACAAGGGAAAACAGAACAAGCAAGAAAAGATTTAGGTAATTTTTTGGTTATTTGCAAAACTTACCCTCTGTAAAATATCATGTTCCTCTTTCATGAACCATGGAATGCAAAATTGGTGATATTGACTTGATAAACGAACACTTCATTACTGCCTTTTTTTTTTTTTTGGTGCTTTACTGAAATAAGATTATTCATTTTTGTTGTATTGTGAGATAGGAGTATCGTGAATGATTATTAAAGGTCAATCGGTCAGGGATGTAAAATTTATATTTAGCACATCACGTGATATTGATCAGAGAGAGGGAGAGAGATTTTCCCAATGGCAATATTTCTGTCTTGCAATGTTTTGTTAAAATATGGATATCGATATTGTGGTTTGGTTTCCAGCGTCTCTATATTTCAAATGTCTGACGAATTCTAGTCCTCCTTTAAGTTTGCAAATTGGTTGAGTGGCATTCTTTCTAGAGCAATTTGGTGGGGCCATGGTGTATAGTTTTCAACCTCAAGTCATGTTCTTTCATTGTTGAGCTTATCATCATCAATCATCTGTTTGTCTTACCTTTGCAAAACAGATCAGCTTGCAGCATTCCATTTTTTCACATTTTCTTTTTTTGCAGAACGACTAGCCATTATACGGCAACAGAGGGCTGAGGCTGCAAAAAAGCGTGAAGAGGAGAAGGCTGGTAAATTTCTTTCCCCTCAATCTTCTTTCTCTCAACCAGAAAAGAGCACAGAATCCACCAGAGTAACCGTTAATTTCTAACAGCCCGAGAACACAAGAAGGCAGAGGCACGCAAATGAAGAGATCTGAAGGAGAACTCTAACGACATATTTCCCTTCTCACAAAGTCACAACCCACCACCCCATAAACATCAAACTCTCTCTCAATCAGTATCTAAAACAGGGTTCTCATCTCTTTGCAAGTTGATCTTGCTTATGAAAATTTCACATTCATATCATGTAGAACATACTTTTATCTCGTGGACCAAGAACACCTCTAAGATGTTTCTGTATAAAGGGGTGAAAAACTGATCTGAGGATGTTATTTGTGCATGTAAACCATTATTATATTTCAATTGGGGTACAAGGTTTTGCAAATTGACGAGTTTATGCAAGGAATATACTTTATTGATGTTCTACGTCCCTGGTTCTTCTTAACTTTGCTTCATTCCATGTGCTTTTCTGTCGGCTGTGATTTTTATTAGTACATTTCAGCAGCCATGACCATAGACAAATGTGCATGTGCAATAGAATTCCTTGAACTTATCAAACCATCGTCGCATGGCATTTTTTTTTTTTTGGGGCCAAAACATAGCGTAGTTTATGAGTCAAGTCGATATTATAAGGCTGGTAAAACCCGCCAAATTTTTTTTTTCCTTCTTTCTTTTCTTTTTCTTTTTTTTTAAGTGTTAGCAGGTATACTCCTCCGGTTCTTAATAGATGACTTAATTCTTGAGTTGGTTTTAATTCTAAATATAAGACCCATTTCTCATATTTATTAATTTTTCCTAAATTACCCCCATAGATACTTTCTCAACCATAATCAAATAGATGAGGTATTTAGAAAATTATAGTGTTTTAAAAAAAATATACTACCTTTGATTCTTAATATAAGACCTTATTTGACTTTTATTTTGGTCCTAAATATAAGACCTAATCTACTTTGTCTCTCATATTTACTCAATTTTTTTCAAGATAATCCTTCAAATAATTATAGTTTTAGTTAATACACTTGATTAGTAAGGATATTTTAAGAAAGATAACACCTATTTAAGACAAATAACTAACTTAACTAACTTCCTTAATCTCCTCAAATTAGTTAACTGGTTCTTATAATTAGGACCGGAGATAGTTTCACTTTTCTTATAATTAACTAACTTATATAACTTCTTTGATCTAATCAAATTAGTTAAATAGATTTTATATTAAGGACCGAAGAAGTATATAATAAAAAAAATAAAAATACTAAAAATGATATAAAATATTACAAATATTCAAACAAAAATTTCAACACAATAAAAGACAAATAATATATGATTGTCCAGTTTCTTAATATGATAATACACAAATTCACATTTTTTTTCTAATGAAACCAACGAGTAACACTGAATAATCCTCTTTAGCTAATTATTTCTAATAGTAATGAAGTTTGAAGTAGAAGCCTTCCTTATTTTCTCTTTCATTATTTATTTTTTTTAAAAAAAAGGTGGTTGACTGGCCGATTGGCCCACAGGTTGGCAGGCCAACTTACCGTAAGTTCGGGTTATGACAGTACGGGTTATATTTTTTGAGGTAGTGGTGGGTTGATTTTTGGCTAATCTTAACCCACCTTTTTTTTGCAAGTTGGTAAGTTGAACCTATAGGTTCAACTCATATTACCGGCTAGAAAATGCTCATTAAATGATTTTTATAAAAAGTAATAATTTTTTTTGGAAAAAATAACAGTGTCCGTGAAATGGAATTGTATAAGTAATTATGAGAAAATAATTATTCTTTATAAACAGTATTGGAATTTGTTTTTCACATTGGATGAACAACTTGTTTTTCTTTAAAATTTACTGTCATGTGCATATTAAAAACAATTAACAATCTATTTTAGCCCCACACGAATTATTTTAGAATATGTTATCTCGTGTGTATTAAGAACGTAAACAGTTACTTGTTTAATTGTTATAGAAATTATTTTTTTAAAGTTTGTTATCTGATGCATATTTAAAATAGAAAGAATACTTTATTACTTCAAGATGTGTGATCCGTTTGCAAATACTTTATTACTTCAAGATGTGAGATCCGTTTGCAAATTAAGTTTAAACGGTGTGTTCTACTTAAAATTTATTACCCGTGAATATAAATAACTGTGTTATTATGTTTAAACTAAAAATTCAAATAACACAATTTTTTCACTAGATTGCGTCGTATAATTTTACAATCTGTGCAAATTAAATTTATAATTTCAGGACAAGTCTTGTATCTATTTTCTACTGTATGTCAATATTTACAACCTGAACATAACTTTCGAAGGAGCTTGGAAGTTGGAATAGATTCTGATCATAATAAAAACATAAAATCCACTGTATTTTTTTTTATTTGCTTATATTTAACATATTAATTAAATCGCTGAATATATTATTTCATTATCTTTTTCTGGTGATAAGAGGCTAAGAGCCAGTATTTCAATTATTTATTTATTCAGTGGTGTCGAGGACACAGATTAGATTAGGCAGATTCCCATGTGGACTGGCAAGAAAGAGATGAAGGCACATGGCTGTCGTCGAAATCAGAAAATTTTTTTTCCCAACATCACATAAAAATTAAAATAGAGAATATTGAAATGATTTTTTTATTTTATTAAAAACAATAATATTAAAATATATAAATAAATAATTTAATAAGATAAACACCCGTGTTGCACTATTTAATACTCCTCCGGTCCTTAATATAGGACTCAATTCTTGAGTTGGTTTTGGTCCTAAATATAAAACCTATTTATTATATTTATCAATTTTCTCTAAATTACCCCTATGATTACTCCCTCAACTATAATCAAGTAGAAGAGGGAGAGGTGGTATTAAGAAAGATGATTATGGTGTTTTAGGAAAAATGTGTCACTTTTCTTATAATTAACTAATTTACCTAATTTCCTTAATCTAATCAAATTAGTTAAATGGGTCTTATATTAAGGACCGGAGGAGTATTAGTAATAAGATTTATCTTAGATTTTATATACTGACCACAATTTAGTTATATGAAAATTTCTTATTCTTTCCCTTATCAAATAATCATGAAATTGATTTTATAAGACATTAAAAAGTTTAAAACAAAATGAAACTATTTTTTATAATTAGAGAGGTTAAGCTCAGGCAAGAGCTGTAATGTGATCAGCAAATAACTTTCCATTTATAGATAACTTATTTCAAGGTTATTGGGTAATGAGGCTGATTTCCTAAAATGAACTCTAGTAATATATATAAAATGAAATATGAGACAATTAGTATAAGAATTATTATAAAAAATGAAAAAGGAAATAAGACCCTCTTTTTCTTTTTTCTGTCTTTTTTTGGGCCAACTTTTTCTTTTATCGTTAATCGTCAGTTTGCTGCAATCCTAGAGGGACCCACTTGAAAATGTCATATCATCTTTGTATTTTTACGGGGAAAAAAAGACAAAAGATTATACTTTGGCCCTTATGCCCTGGCCAGCTGGCCCTTGCCCTTTTTCACTTTTTAAAAAAATTATGCGTTTAATTTTTTTTTTTGGTCGGAATTATGCAAATTTGAGTTTAACCGCTATTTATCGCCCCCTTCTTCCATAAAAAGACAAAAAGTACTTTCTTTTTTTACTAAAATAAAAAGTTATCATATGAAAAATAGCAAATGCAAGACAAAAATGGAAATCTGAACTTTCATACAAAGTGTCTAGACTCTAGACTCTTCTATTTCTTTCCTTTTTGGTGGTATACTAATAAATAAAAAAATCATAGAAAAGAGCAAGTTTCATGGGAAAATCCAAAAAAAAAAATAACTGTAGAATTTTAAAATTTTAAATCACTACTAGTTACTATACTCCTAAAAAAAATAATTACACTCAAAAAGTAAATGACAATACATTTTTATAGTAATTCCTTATTTAAAATTTTAAAATTCAATAATTATTTTTTGGGGATTTTTTCAAGTTTCATTTGTAGGTATTGTTAACTTCATGTTTTTGGCTTAAAACTATATTAAGGGGAAAAAAGGAAAAAGTTAAATGAAACTTATTTATTTAATTTAAAAAAAAACCCGAAAAGATAGAGTGGAAAGAGATTATTAGTTATTAAATAGGTTTTCTTTGTTGTCATTATTAGTTATTAAATAGGTCGAAAGTGGGTGTGTTAATCACCGCCAAGCGCCCAAAACGCATGATTGGATTGTCAACCTAAAATACCTAATCTCAACCTTTAGCTTCCATTAAATTATCAACAAGATAAGAAAACCACTCATATAATATAACTATTCTATTGCCTCTTGTTGTTAAATTAAATAAAATGATATTCTCACTTAATGTCTATTTTTCCTTTTAAAAAAATCATCATTTCATGATACATTAGGCAGTGTTTTTTTTTCCCAAAAAAATAAATAAATAAATATTGCCCCTTCTTCGTGTTATCATAAACTTGCATCACTCACCTGCCATAATAGTAACTCCAGAGGGGTTTGACTTGGTTATGTGTGCGTATTATACTTCATCTATTGAATTAATTAATTTAGGTAAGTTAATAAAATCTAATCAATTAATTAATCACAGTAGATGTGATATACTCATCCGGTCCTATATTTAGGACGGGAAAAGTAATTAGTTTATAAGTTTCATAAAATAGTTAAGAAAAAAGAGGATAAATATGTGAAAGTGAAACAAAAAGAATTCAGATATTATATTTAAAATCAAATTCAACTCATACGTATGTTTTAATGGGTATTCAATTCACGTAAATTATTATTATTCATAAGTTATGAATAATAAAATTTACCTGAAATTTTATACAAAGCACAAATCTAGTTCTATTATGCTATAAAGTAACCCGTTGAAATTAATTTGTGGTTTTTATGTTATGCCTTACTCAATTTTCTTATTTAAGATAAATTTATAAGTTTACTTCTATCTTATTAACTGGTTGGATTAACTTTACTGTTAGAAAATAAAAAGAAAAAGATGCAAGTAAAGTACTAAAGAATAAGGAAAAATGAAAAAAAAAGGGAAAAAATAATTTCCATGAAAAATGCTCATTCCTAATTACTGGCGGAAAGACCATCACTTGCCTTCTATGACAAGTAATTTCTATTTGCCGGGAATCTCCTTTTTCCCTCCCTAAATTATAGACATGGAATAAATTTCTCACCCAATATTTTGAATTATTTTGGTTTTAGCTGCAAATTAGAGATTTTGAATTGATGATTTTTGAAATGATCATAATTATCATAATTTATTTCTTAATTATGTTTTTTTTTTAACTTGGCTTCCACGGATGGTGGATTGGTGAAAAATTTAAGAAGGAATAAAAAGAAAATCCTGATCCTAAGATTTAAAAAGAAAATCCCGATCCTAACTTAAGAGAAGGAAAAAGGAAACCACGAGATATATTTTAGATATTTAACAGACCAGAATTGCTCACGAAAGCACGATCCTCTCTCTTACCCGCGCTCTTTCTCCTGCTTTCTCTCTCTGGTAAATTTGTTTCCTTGGCTTCTTCGATCACAGATTGTGATCATCTCTAGCTTTTGGTTTCTTTCTACGGTAATTGGGTTTATCCCCATTCGTTTTTTCCTTCAAGTTTCGTTTCTTTGCCTGTAAATTTTTGTGTTTTATGGTTATTTAGGGCTATAAATTTGATGTCTTGATCATCGGGTGAAAGCAAGGAACTTGCATTCCTGGTTTATGAAGGCATTCACTGTAGCCGATTTTAATTTTTGATATTTCTCTTCGGACCCAGTGATAATATTTTCGTTTACTGTTCGCCAGAATCGGTTTCCTGGACGTTGTGAATTATATTGACCTTTGAAACTCGGAAGTTGCAAGCTTTGCATGTTTAGAACGTGTGGTTATTGAACTTTGTTTTAGTATGTGGTGGGTGATCAATTGGGGATGAATGGATGATATAGTTGGATACTTTCTTCTTAAGGTCTGGTTATTTCTTGTTGGGTACTTTTTTTTTGGTGCAGAGCTTTAAATTTTTCGATGAAGCCATATGCTTTTCAGGAGATTTTTTTCCTTCACAGAATGATGTAATATTTTCCTTGTAGTCCGAATATAGGATTTTTTTGGGGGGCACTGTTGAATGATTTTTCGGTATTCACCTTTCATTTGGTCTTAAGGAAATCTGTTCTCAAAGTAAGTTACCCTTGGAGTATGCTGGAAATATACGAAGACAATTTAAGAATTCCTTTGTCGTTTTAGGCTGAATGGTTTCTAATGAAATGGGACTTACCATTCTCGTTTGACTTGTTCTTAATTGTGATCTGTCGTTTTGTTTGATGAGAGTATGTCAAGAAGTTCCTAGCTTGCAACAAAATGTCATTATCATATGTGTTGGTGTTCTCAGCTTCCCTTTACTTTGTTTCTGTTTTATAATAATTTTAGTCTGACCGAATGTCTTTGAGGCTTAGCTCAATATGGCTCTGAGGTTAACCTGAGTTTGAGACATTGGTGGCATGCGCTTTTTTTTTTTTTTTTCCGTTTTTTAATCAGCGTTTTTCTTTTGTTGTTATATCATCGGGTTGATAAATGGGGCACAATCTTGTCAATTATGCAAATTCAAAATTAAATATTTTACATAAAAATAATTGTGAATCGTGGATAATTGAAAGAGAAAGTGAAAACAAAAGGTAAGATTAATTCATTATTTTATCTATGTATTTAACAGACCCTTTACTAGATGAACATATTGTTGCAATCTCGGAACAAGTGAAAGTGGAAAAATGCTGAGAGCTCTTTTATTAGTCATTCATATGGTTCAGATTGATTTATTCACCTAATATGATGAAATTTCAGTGTCAGATGACTGATTTGGAAATGGATCGACGAAGGCAAGACTATTATCATTCTGAACCCTGTATTATTCTGAGGGGGCCCAACATCTCACAGCCAAATATCCGCTCAATGGTGGCAGCTTCAGGAAGCACTAGTAATATTGATTCCCACTATTCGTCAGATGCTTATGACAACGGTTTGCTGTATGGGATGACACAGTTTAATGGGGTTCATCATCTACCCAATCCTGATGTTGGTGCCGCTGCATGTTCTAGCTTGTTTTATTCTGCAATTAATCCCGCCTCTGGTGCTGGTGTAGTACCTCAGCCCATTAATTACCGAGCAACTGATCAATTGCCAGCTCCAGGCACATATGCTGTCTCTGGAATTTTTATGGATGATGCAAGATGCCCATACAAACTAAAAGTTATTGAGGGCATCAGAGGAAACTACCAACATTTTAATGCTGCAGCTAGTTCTTCAGTAGCTCCTCCAAATGCAAGGCACTCTGATGGGGTTCCTGTATCATTTTCTTTACCTCAATTTAGAGGAAATCACGTTCCATCACTTGTAGAAATTGGACCTCATGGTAGTGTGTGGAGTAGATCTGGTGACTCAGTTATGGTGCATGAACACAACCATTTAATTCAAGGAAACTACTTGGGCCAGCATTTTCAACCAGCTCCACCTCCCTGGTTGGACCAGCAGTTGAACGGTACTAACAGTGAAGGACATAATATGGCCTGGAATCAGTCCCATTCAATACCTCATATGCAAGGTGAAGATGATATTTTTCCCTCTTTCCCTACTTCTCTTTGTCACTTGATGTTCTGTTAGTGAATAACTCATGACAAGCAAGAGGCCTTTTCTAGGTTTTCTGATGAAAAGTGAAAACTATAGTTTTTTTATTTTTTAAAATATCAACCACGTTACAAATATGAAGATCAATGTCTATTGCAAAACATAAACTGTTAGTTTGTTCCTGTAAGGCCATTGTTGAAAGTAATTGAATGGAGAGGGGGGATAGAATAAACTTTCCTTCCCCATGTCTTGAATTTGTATTATAAAATGGAAGAAATTCCTTCCCTTGTTTGGGAGCTTAAACAGAATTCATGGAATGGTAAGTGTTATAAAGCTACCAAACTATGCCAGAGCAGAAGACAACCTTCATGTATCTTTGGACTGACTGGCATAAAATTCAAACCTTACCCTCTCCCCTCTTTAGCTTGAAAAACAGAAGGAAATTTCTAACATCAAGTTACAGTGTTATAAATTATATGAATAAAATTTCCAAAAGTTTTTCTTTTCTGGCTCTCTGGACAGCGGACAGATTTTGTTCAGTCTTAATTTTGAGGCATAGGTATACGTCAGAAGATATTAGCTGAAGATAAAAGGGAGAGTTGCGTTCCTATTCCATACCCTGCTTCCTGCTTTATATTTTAAACTTGAAAGCTGGGGTATAAGTTTTCCCTTCCCTTTTCATTGATTCCCATCATTTAAAAGAATGAACGTGATGCCATGTCTGGATTTGGACTTGCTGACGCTTCCTCTTGTTCTGTTACTGGCCAGCAGCTGTTAATGGAAGTTCATTAGAAAATGCAAATACAGGTATGCAGAGATATCATGATGCAGCTAGCAACAGAAGCAGCCTCAGGTTTGCTCATCCTCCTCCTGTTAACCACCAGCACCATAATTATCAACTTCCAACTCTGCCTATGCAAGGAGTAAGGGGCCACAATATCAACTTTCACCCTCCAGTTACTGCAACTGCTTACAGAGGGGTTCCGTCAAATTCTCCGCACAGTACCATTATCCCAATGCAGAATGGTTTTGGGTTGGGTGCTAGGCACGTTGGCCCTGCAACATCAGCAAGCCAACGGGCACATCGTTCTCATAGAGGAGTCGTGCAGGATACATCTCTTAGACATCACAATTCCCGTCCAGTGAGTTTTCTCCATGTTGATGTGAGTACTCTAACTCTTATATTATTTTTATTCTGTAATTTGTTGTCTTTATGAAGACTCGACTTGGTGTCTTCACATTACTTGAGACGTTGGTTTCATCATAAAATGAATGTTAACGCATATAGGATGTTGCTTTGCTTGATGGCGTGGAAAATTTAGTTGACCATCATCATGGTGATATGCGTTTGGACATAGAGGATATGTCTTATGAGGCAAGTGGACTAAATCCTGATCATGCTTTATTATCGTAGTGCTGAAATTTGAATTTGTGGAAATTTCTTCTGTACTGATTGCACTTGGAACCGGACCATAGGAGCTTCTTGCTTTGGGCGAGCGGATTGGCAATGTGAGCACGGGTTTATCAGAGGAAACCATTACCACTCAATTGAAAACAAAAACTTTCGAGTCCTCTGCCGCTAATCCGGAGGAAGCAGCTTCTGAGGATGAAGAAACCGATTCTTGCATCATATGCCTGGTATTGAGCAATTTTGTAACCAAAAATCCAAACTTTATGGAATAATTGTGTTCACAATGCACTAAGTTAATCCCTGGAATATTTGCGTTTAATTTCAGGACGAATATAAGAACCAAGAGACAGTGGGAATTCTCGACTGTGGGCACGAGTATCATGCCGTTTGCTTGAAGAAATGGTTGCTGCTGAAGAATGTCTGCCCCATATGCAAATCAGAGGCATTGACTCCTAAAAGGAAGGACGTATAAAATTCAACGTCAAAAATTTCTCTCCCTCTTCCCTCCAATCCTTTTGGATGATACATTATTTTTGAACAAAATGCATATTTGTATATTTACATGCACATATATACACTATAGACGTTTACACCTCCCAAACTCATTTATTTATCGGCACCAGAACATTGTATCTATCAAGTTGTACAGACTTTGTTCAGCGTGGCGAATTAACAATATTTGACATCGAGTAATTATATAATTCTCGATTTTCTCATGTGGATGGTACATGGAAATCGCAAAGTTCATAATTAGGAGTCCTTGTGTTGCATGCACACTGTTGGTTGCTTAGTTAAGCGTTTGATTTGAATCACCTCTCACTGTATATAGCAGCTAATTACTACCTCTGGAAATACCAATTATATCTTTACTGTTTTCGGTTCTTAATATAAGAATTAGTTGACTAATTTAAGTAGATTAAGGATATTAATTAAGTTGATTGTTTGTAATAAATATATGTTATTTTTTTAAGGTATTCTTACTAATCAAATGTATTGATTAGAACTATCATTATTATAAGTATTATCTTGGAAAAAAATGAATAATATAAGAGACAAATTGAATTTTTACATTTAAGACCAAAATAAAAATCAAACAAGATCTTATATTAAAAATCTCTTATATTAAAAATTATATTAAAAACCAGAGGCAGTATTAAAAGGTCAAAAGTGATACTCCTCCGGTCCTAATTATAAGACCCAATTGACTTATTTGAGGAGATTAAGGAAGTAAGTTAAGTTGGTTATTTATAATAAATAAGTGTTGTCATTCCTAAAATATCCTTGCTAATTAAGTATATTGGCTAAAACTATATTATTAGAAGGATTATCTTGGAAAAAATGCATAAATATAAGAGACAAAATGGATTAGGGTCTTATAATTAGGACCAAATAAAAAGTCAAATGGGGCCTTATAATAAGGACCGGAGGATTGTTTTTCTCTCCTGAATACAAACGACCTAGGAATTCTAAGGGCCTGTTATTTCTAATGCTTTATCAAGTAGTATTGTGTCACGAAGGCTTGAATGAGGGAGATATCATTCATAATTCGTGTATGATAAGTGTAGTTTTTATATCCTATACAAATATATGTGTGCCCATTAGACTCTTGGTAATTGCCTTACTCTAGTTAGCGTTTCAGTGGAGGGAGGGACGTAGCCTTGTCATGCAAGGCTAGATTTGTGTTCGTGTTGAAGTAGGGTGTCTAAGAAATTTTCCATTAAGAGGAGTGTCGTTATGTATCACCTTGAAACTAGTTAGTCTTCGTCATCAACCAATTAAACAGGAACGTTGGTCAACTAGAAATTTAAAAATAGTTCATATATAATAGACTGTTCCTAAACTAGGGCAACAAAGTACAGCAATAAAGCCGAAGATCTGAAGTGAAAAAAAAAAAAAAAAGTGAACGAACATGAGACCGAAATATTGACCAATCAAAGCCCCACATAAATGTCATATTTCTACCACTCAAACCTCTAATCATCTTCCGACATGTCCAAGGTCTGGTAAAAAACACGATCAGTATGCATCAAATTCAGCTATAATATATTTTTTTTGGGTGGAAAATAATGGCAATACAATCAGCAAGACTTCATTGATTATAGTCACTTATTTTAAGACGAGCAGCAGCCAGCTTTCTTAACATCTGAAACATCGTCCTTACCCCCAACATTTATGCTTTGTCCCTTGGGCAAATCTGCAGAACCATTCCCTGCTGCTTCAAGTGCTTTTCGACAAACCACGCCATATATTTGGGTTAGCACTTCGGTGAATGCATTCTCAACATTCATAGACTCGAGGGCAGATGTCTCCATAAAGAAAGTATTTTCCTTTTCCGCAAAGGATTTTGCATCTTCAGTGGACACCGCTCGTAAGTGCCGTAGGTCTGCTTTGTTACCAACAAGCATGACGACAACATTAGAATCTGTGTGATCTCTCAACTCCTTCAACCATCTCTCGACATTTTCGAATGTACTGTTCCGAGTGATATCGTAAACAAGTAAAGCACCAACAGCTCCTCTATAGTATGCACTCGTGATTGCCCGATATCTGTGGCGAAAAAAAAGAATCACGGTTTAGTTCAGCTGGGGGGCTCTCAAATTTAGACGAAGCTCAGACATTTTTATCATTCAGATTTCAGATTGCAGGGAAGGAATCGGTAAAAAATTCATAATGATTATAACATGTAGATTAATGAATAAATAACTGTCAACAATGTCCGGATACAGTTATGATCGACTAAATAATCATGACTAGAAGATTATGCATACATATCACTCTCGCTTACATCATATCAAGAACCATTTCACCCAGAAAGAACTATTTTATTCCAAAGTCTTGAGCCAGAAAGTGAGGGCTCATGATTAATTTTCTTATACTATCCAAAAAATAACTCTCCAACCTTCTAGCGCACAACCATATTTATCTCAACAGATCAATATCGTAAGATAGATGGATAGTCAAGCCACAGCGACATCTATAAACCTGCTCTTTACCTTCTCTTGCAAATCAAATGATACTTCCAGCTTCTTTTTATATTTATTTTTGTTTTCTGCTTTTATTTTATTTTTTGCATATAAATTCACAGCGTAGAGCAGAAACATTGGATATACTGCCACTTTGTTTTGTAATCCTTTCATTTGCGGATGAAAAAGATCAAAAAGAAAAATAACTCATACTTGCCTAACTTTAAAATAGATCTACAAACAACTGTCTTATCACCAGTTCCAACTTTTAACTCTACATTTAGAAGCAAATCTATAAGCTTCCATTTCACTTCCAATCATAATTGAGAATAATTTGGATAATCAGTAACCGAGGCGAGAATAATTGAGAAGCAAAGACTAATCAAATTACCAATATCTAGAGTAAAGCAATCCAATTGGCTACCTTATCATGGTAACTAAAACAAAGAGATCCATGGCCTGAAATTCATTTCAGATTCATACATTCCGCTAAAAAAGAAGAAAAGCGAAAACTACTAACCTTTCTTGGCCAGCAGTGTCCCAAATCTGGGCCTTGACCATCTTGTCGTCGACACTAATGCTGCGCGTGGCGAATTCAACCCCAATCGTGGATTTAGACTCGAGGCTGAACTCATTTCGAGTGAATCGAGAGAGGAGGTTGGATTTGCCAACGCCAGAGTCTCCGATCAGAACCACTTTGAAGAGGTAGTCGTAGTCATCTTCGGTTCTGTAGGCGCCCATTGTTTGAAGCTGGATCGGGTCGGATCAAGATTGCGAGGTGTGAATGCGTCGGAAAAGAACATATACAACAAGCGACGCTTCCGAGAGGGAGAAGGAAACGGAGGTGAAATTGAAAGAGATAGGGAAGGAGGAGGAGGAGGAGGATCGACGATGTCTTTCCTTCTCTTTTCAAAATGCGAGTGTTTTTGAATTTTAGACTTTGATTGGACTTGTTCCGAAAGATCTTCTCTCCTCAATTGAAATTTTATACTCTCTCTCTTTCTCTCTATTTTTTTCCCAAAAGATTTTCATTCCTCTCGTAGTAAGGGGTGCTTGGAAGCTGATACAAAAAAATTTTCACATCCTTATTTTATATTTAAAGATTATGCCAACAAAATAAGGATCTCAATGTAATACTCCATTTGGTTTTTATTATAAATTTTAAATAACTAATTTACAAATAACAAATAATTAGTTAAAATTAATTAAAAATAGTAAATAGATTAGAAATACATTTTTATTTTTAAATATGTCTTTATAATAAATGAGAAAAGGAAGAAAGAGAATGGGTAGAGAAACGTGATAATAGATAAATAATTAAATGCAATATTAAAAAAGTACATTAAATATTAAAACAAATCTAATACATCCCTTCCCAAATTTGAAATTTATAAATAGGATTTAAGAGAGTAGTTTAAATTTTTTGAATTAAAAATATAATAAAAATATTTTGAATGTAAAATGATTATAAATACATGCAATGCATGTTTTAGTTAGTTGTATAACTTAGCTGCTGCTTTTTTAGGGTTAGGAAATATGTTCCTTAAGGGGGTGTTTGGCAACCTCCAAACCATGGTTTCAGAAACACTTTTCCCCAAAACAAGGCAAATTCCTTCACATATTTACTTTGTAAACCGTAAAAGCACTTCTGAAACTATGGTTTGGTTTCAATCCAAACACATAATAAGTTGGATAGAAGAAAATCCTAACTACTTACTTAAACTGTAAGAATATTTACTGTTTACAACAATTTGCCTTGAGTTGGTAAGCTGGATAGAATTTTTCGTTATAAGTCATCACAATTGCATGGTCAATCTTTTCAACCATATTTTCATATTCACTACAAAAGAAAGCTGAAATTAGAAATGTGCACTAGAATTTGTTATATACTAACACGAGTCATAAAGTGATTGAAGTTTTGTTGTGTTGTTTATTGTCTCGAGCAAGTTTTTTGTTCTAACGAAATAGAAATGAAGTTTGCAATCATTCTTATAGCTGATTCATTCAATTTGGATCCGTTTATTTCAAACAATTTTACGTTATATACAAAATAAATATATAAAAATGTTTTTACCTTGTAAATTATTTAAAAAAATTACTATTTGTAGTAAAATCAAACGGATAAAATGGCTAGGGGAAAAAGCATAGTTGTGAATAACTTGATTAACCTCTGGCGCAAAAAAAGCTCGTTCCGTGGATCTAGGCATGTGTACTGAAGGTTCATAAGTTCGTTGACCTTATTTTCTGTGCCAACAAGAAGTTAACATTATTTTTTTTTGGATTACTCCATCCGGTATTCCAGGAAAATAAGCGTCTTTCAGCCGTGACAACGTCCCCAAACTAATCCGGATTCGGGGGCATGCAAGGATCCATACGGACGGCGCCCCCTGACCCCTTAGAGTGCTGCTTCCCACATCTCGAACCCGAGATCCGTGGTTAAGCTAGGACGACCCCAGCCAGTCGACCTAACCCCGCGGGGTTAAGAAGTTAACATTATTAAACACAAAAACTGAGTTAAAAACAACAAAGAAAACCTGCTTCAACGTAAAAAGCCAACTAATAGAGGGGGGGGGAGTTAACACAATACTAGCCAACCCCACACCTATCAGTATTACACAACAAAGAAACAACAGCAGTCATTGCAAAGTTTCTTCCTGCCTTAGGATCGTTCTCCAAAAGCCAAGCCAGAGTGTGTGCCAACGGTTTTGCCCACCTTACAAAATACATCTCTGTCATACTTCACAACAAATGAA